AGGAAAAGGGATTGCAACTGGTACAGAATAATCAGGCTTTCACATAGACTGAATTTTTTGATTACTTCTTGGTGTAACATTCCTTTGGTGTGTACAAACAAGCTGCAGTCTTCAACAACAAAGCACCTTTCTCAACCACTAATACAAATCCATGCAGACAACAGCTGTCTGCCAGTATTAGTGATCTAACCGGTTCAAAGAGCACAAGACTGCCTCTGGATCCAAGCTCCCAACTATGATGACAGCAGAGGTGATCAGCGTGATTTCACATAAGCAGCAACATTTCCTCTCCCTTTCCCAAGAGAACAGCTTAAACAACACCTTAGAAAATATCAAGATGAAAAAATACCAATGAAAAAAGCGTTTAAGCGCTATGACGAAGGCTCCAACTGCTTAGCTTCATGGCAGCATTGTTACACAGGTCCCACACCTCATTTAAGGCACTGAACTGTCTGTGCTTTGAACATGAGCAAAGACTGCACAGCACACGAGAGGATTTTCCTTCTTCTACTGCAGAAGCTGGAAGGTGTGTCCCAAACGACACAAGGAGTTGCACAGCTGCTTGGTGATGATGGTAGGTAAATGCTGCTCTCTAGAATCAGGCTTGTACTCTTGCATTTTCTAGATTTGGTAAGCAGTACATTTCAAAGTAGGTTTTCTCCAAGGAACTACCAAACCTACTTTGTTTTCTGCACTTCAACTTCAGGAGGACAGTCTGATGTGTGGGCGCACTGAGCTCTTGCAAATGAGACTCAGGTGTTCCCCAATCACATACAAGTCTAAGTAGCATCAAAATAAAAATAGAACAAAACAAACCCAACCCAAAAGCAACAACAAACAACCTCCCCACAAAACACCACCTCTTCATTTCTCAGACATTTAAGAACAGGCACCAAGCTTGTTCCACTGTATTCATGATTACATTTAAGGTCTTTGCCTTATCTTCCCCTTTTACGTTGTAGAGAACACCATTATTTCACTCAACTCTCCTGGCAAGTGCATTTTGAGTGCAAACTAATTCATTTTAAGGCACTCCACCCATAATGTCATAGAAGAGCTCATAAAACATCAGTTAAGTAAAGTATTTCTTGTATATTTTGGGCATGTGCTGTAAAAAATCTTGGGTCCCCAGACTGGATTAATGTTAAAGTATGTATAACCTACATACATACATACACACACATGCACAGTGTTGGCCTAGTAACACTCTGCAGTGCCATACAGAAAATATAAATGGTTAAAATGCAAGGCACATAGGCAATTTAAAAATAAAACGTTAGGAACCTTAACAGCATAGTACACAAATAATTCACCTATTCTCATCAGTATCTAAGACATCTTTCAAAAATGCTGCATTAAAAATGCTTTTAATAAAACTGTTTTCATTCAATATCTCCTAGAAATTCTACTCCTAACTTCACTTCCTTGTGCAATATCTCTGTTTGTTTTTAAACTACAAGAATCACCATTTAAAGATATGAAAAACAATGAACTCTATCTACCTTCCTTCCACTCCCATTTTGCAAAGAAACATCAGACTGAATCATGATGATTTGGGAAAGTCATCATCCAAATGAGCTTGAAAGAAACCAACGTGAAGGATCACAGCCCAGGGGAAGTATGGGTGGGTAAAAATTAAAAATATGGCCTTTGCTACCAAGTTAGAATGTTCAAAAACCTTTCTAGACCTTTATCAGTGCAAGTTACTCCACCGGTCCTTTATTGCTTTCCTTGATCTTTTCCACCATGAACCTAAAAAAGGCTAATATTTGAACGACAGATTAAACAGAAATTAGAGAAGTCTCACAATACAAAGCTAGTAAGACATAAATGCCCAGGAAGAGTATAAGTAAACAAAAATAATATTAAAAAATATATTTCCTATGACTTGCCTTACTGAATATAGATTTTTCTCCATTCAGCAATTCCAAACCCTACATCCCGATAGAGCACTATGTTTAAAATCTTATCTGTTGTGACAGAAGACAGAAGTTGAGGGCTGTGTCAGCGAGCAGGCAAACCAACCCTAACTGAGTCTTCTCCAATGCCCCCAATTAAATGTGCCGGTCTGGGATGCCGGCCTAGTGCCAGCAGCACCGGAGTTCACCCGGATCAATACAGCTGAATGAGCTGCACAGGGGTGAACGCATTTCAGCATGAACGGGAGAACTAACTGAAAGTCGATAGTGAAAAGCTAGTGCTTAATCCTGTAACACACAGGTAGAGCAGTTGTGCGTCGTTCCGATAGTGGCCCGCAAACTAATCTCTCAAAGAACAAAGGGACGATTTATTTCCTACGACATTCCCAACATCACTGTATTACAACAGGTAAAAACGTGTAAAATGTCTTCCCCCGTAACGCATTATATTCAGTGGTTTCGGCGATGCTGCTCTCAGGTTCCCCCACGGTCCAGCAGCATTTCCGCTGCCGTGCGCGAAGTGGGCGGCCTGGGGACACCCAAACGCCGCTGTTCCGGAGCACCGTCAGCCGCTGCCTCCAGACGCCGGCCGGTGGGTGCACCAGGCACCTACCGACAGCTGCTGGCTTCTTTTGTTCCCTGCTATCCGTCGTTTTCCGCCGGGCACCGCGCCGGGCAGAGGGAGCGGCGGGCAGCGGCGCTCCAGCGACGCCCCGGGGCGCATCGCTCGGCGAGCCCGCGCCTGGCACCGCCGCTGCCTCGCCCCGCTTAACGGGACAATTCATCCCGCATCCTCCCGCCCCGCACAGGTAACGGGCGCTGGCCACCGCGGGCCGGGCATCCAGCGCATCCCCTTCCCGAAGCCCGCGGGTGACACCTCACGGGCAGCATCTGCAGAGCGCAGCCGACCCCGCGGCTCCACCGACCCCGCGCCGCGGCCCCGGCGGCCGCCCCCGCCCGGCGGGGCGGTGCTGGCGGCGCGGGTCAGCCCAGCACAGCCCGGCACAGCCCGGCACAGCCCGGCACAGCCCGGCACAGCCCGGCACAGCCCGGCACAGCCCGGCACAGCCCGGCACAGCCCCGCCGGCCGCCCCGCGCTCCCCGCAGCTCTCCCCGCCGCAGCCCCTCGCAGCGCAAGCTGGGCGCCCGGGGCGGAGGTCCCTCTTCTCTCTGCCCGGCCCAGCCCGGCGCCACCACATCCCAGATGCCCGGGGAGGGCCGTGCCCGGCGGGAAGGTGGCGAGGCCGCGCAGCCGGTGCACGGGGAGGGCTCGTAACCGTGTCAGCCCCGCGCGGGATCACCCAACGCGGCAGCACCGAGGGGCGTCCCGCCGCCGCCAACCCCGACCTCTCCGCCCGTCACATGAAAGCAATTATTGCCTCGGCCGGGGGAGGGGAGAAGTTAAAAGCCGTGAGCCGAAGGAGCGGAGGCCGGTGGCGGCCACCTCCCTCCCGCCGCCCCCAGCGGCACCCGCACCCCACCCGCCCCCCGGGAGCCCCGGCCGGCCCGCGGCACCGCCACCCCGGCGGCCTGGACTCACCCATTTATGTCGAGCTGGGCTTCGCCTGGCAGCGAGAACAGGCTGAAAGTTTGGGGCGGGTGGCCACGGCGAAGGCAGGGGGCGAGGGACCGCCCGAGCCGCCGCGCGGAGCGGAGGCGCTGACAGAGCCGCTCCCTCCTCCGGCGGCCGCCGCGCTCAGCACCCGCCGCAGCCGGGCTGCATCCTGCGGGCAGCGCCGCGGCTCCCTCGGCGTGTGCGGGGAAAATACACAGAAATCAGGAGAGAGAACGGGCTCAGCCTTCACCTCCTGCAGCCACCTGGGGCCCCGATGCCGCGGGGCAGAGCAGCCCGGGGAGAACGCGCCCGGGGGGAGCTCGAGCCGGGGGCGGCCGAGCCGGGCGGGCGGTGCGAGGGCTCGGGGGCGGCTCGGGCTCGGAGCGCGGGCAGCGATCGCCGCTGCTGCTGCTGCTGCTGCTGCCGGGGCGAGCAGCCGCTCCGGCTCCGGCTCCGCGCTGCGGGAAGTGTCGCGAGACTGCGCCAGAGCCGCTGCGCCGCCTCGGGCCGGCGGGAGCGGCGGGGGAGGAGGGCGGGGAGCGGGGGAGGGAGCGGGGCCGTGGTCCCGGCGGGGGCAGGGGCGGCGGGGAAGGGGTGGTTCCCTCCCTCTCCGGCCAGGACTCGTCGGCCGGGCACGGGGAGGGGCAGGGGCTCGCCCCGTGTGGGCGCTGGGGGAGGATGGAGCGCGCTCCCGAGCGGCGGGACGGGCAGTACCTGGGATTCCTGGCACACACCTGGGATTCCTGGCACACACCCGCCCCGTCCCCGCACGGCCCCGGGAGTTGTGCCCGCTCCTGCCCCCGGGCCCTGCCTTCAAGGATACGCGCCGGCACCTCCGCCGGTGCCCCTCCGCTCTCCCCGGCTCTGCCCGTGAGAGAAGGGGCGGGCGGGGGACAGCCTTCCTTCCCCACACCCTCACAGGTTTGGCTTTAGAGGCCGCCAGGGAAGGCAGGAAAGAGAGAAGCTAAGACAGACAAAAAGATTAAAGAAGAGTGCATGTATGGTGGTGGTGATGTTTCGCTAAAAAGAGGAGAGGCGCACAGGAGCACTGATTGTTCTTACTGCAGGGAGATGAGAAGCCCCTGCTCCAGTAACACCAGGGAAAGGGAGAGCAGTCACTGCGCACTCATCAATGACATGACTGCCCAGAAAGGCACCGATTGAGGCGGGAAGAGGCTTCTGCACAGGCACCTCTTCTCACAGGTCTTTACCCTTGGAAATAAACTACGGTAGTAGTAGAGGAGAAGCGCAGATTTTAAAAAAAAAATCTGGTAAAAAAGATAAAGTATAGATAACATTTTACAGCATTAGCACCTTGATTATTAGTGAAAGGTTATGCAAAAAAGCCCTGTTTAACCTCAGATAGGTAATTTGTGTATGAAGACAGAAAACTGCCACGACCGTAAAGGATACATTTTTGCACTTCTCCACTCCCTGCACAACAGACTTTATTTTGAAAAAAGTTTGGGGTTTTTTACCCTGAAAATGACAACAGACATTAATAAGCACTGAATCAAATCACGGAATTATTTATAAGTAAAAATTTTGTGAAAACATTTATTGTCTGTAGAAACAAAATTTACATTTATTTTATATAAACTATGTTAAACATACATATAAACATACCTACATCTTACTATATATACTTATGAATGAGGCTTTTAGATATGAGATAACATTGTCAAAAGCACCGTTGTGGACTCAAAGACTACAGACTTAAACTGCATTTGCATTTAACTCCAGCTTCAGTAGTTCAAAATTGTCATTTCTTATCCACACTTAAAAATAATTACATTAAAGGCTTCTAACAGTGTGTTTGTATGTGTACATATATGTGCACAAACACACATTAGACAGTCCTTGTGAAACTACAGTATAAATAACGCCAACAATCTATTCCTTAGAACTGGACATTAGTTCCCCCCATTCAACTTGGGGCAAAAAATTCCTGCTATTCTTAAAACAATGAGGCTTTTTTTATTCCATGAAGAACGTACTCGAACTACAACTGTTTCCACCCTGTCTCTTCCCCTCAATAATAAAGACATAAGAGAAGCCAGTCACAAAATGAAAGCCATCAACTACATTATTTACAGAAAATGAAGTACTAAGACAACATGAGATTTAAACTTCTTAGACAAAATTCAGGGCAATGAAGAGTGAGCAGAAGAAAACTGTATGAAAGTGGCAGGCAGCACAGAGCTACTACACCACGTGGCTAAATACCTACTCAAAATCCGCCCAACAACAGAAAACATCAGGCACGGAAGGGGCAGGTGTTATGACAATAGTTTTCTCTGAGCTTGACACTGAGAATTTTATGCTCACAAAGCCTGAAACAGAACCAATGCTCATGACTATCCTTAAGGTCTATTAAGGAGTCAAGTGTTACGAGGAGGCTTTCAGAGATCTTGAAATGGCTTTTATTACTTCTTTCCTTCATAAGGAGGCTGAAGAACTTCCTTATCTTCAAATCCTGCAGCAATGGAATGAAATCTGTCAAGGGTCAGAGTTATGTGCAGAAACATCCTTTTTTTTTCTCCAGATTCATTAGGATGCAAGTCTGAAGTCTTTCTTTTAAGAGGGCTCTCCCATGAAGAACATTGGAGATTGATGTTCAGATCCTTAAAGAAGGGCAAGAGGCATGTTTCTAACACAGCATGGGAAAAGCTCTTCTTTCCGAAAGCAAGGAAATGAAAGAACACTCTCCATTTACAGCCTAAGGTAAATACTGAGAAATCAGTCTCTCTTTGTTATGATTTTTAATCATCTTCTCCAAGCAATTCTAACTATCCTTTTCCAAGACATAGCAAAAAATGACCTTCCGATGCATAACAAGCAAGTTTTGAGAACTCTGCCTTTTTTAATGCCATAACAGTGTAATCTTGGGATTTTTTTCTGTTTTTAAAGCAACCAAGTTCATTTAAAGAAAACTCAGCATTTCACCCTGAGGCCCGAGGGAAGAAGGCAGCAGGTAAACTGTTACACAACAGGCGACTGATCAGCTGAATTTATCTCAACCTCTGCTATCAGTTACCTGAGTTGAGACAGTTATGTCCAGGTCTCAAGACTATCTAAATCCATCAGGTAAAATGATTTTAAACATGTAAGTAATTACTAGAGTTAAGGCAGGCTTGTAGAAGCCTTGCAATGTGTTGTTTCTTACTAGACCCAGAATTTTGTGAACCTTGTAAACTCAATCATCACAAAGTTTAAAATAAGGTTTCTAACCAAGCTATGCAGAGATTAAATCGATCAGCAATGTAACTGCTAACACCATAGCAACTTAGTATTTCAGACACTTAATAGGAAGACTCTAGTCATATTAAACCCATTGCATTTTGGATAGCAATTAAAAAAACAATTTCACATGTGAAAACTTAGAATGACATGAGCATTTAACAGCCATTTCAAGCTAAACAAAAGAAAGGCAATTCACATTTGTATTTTCAAAGTATAAAACAGAAAGCTAGAAAGCTCTTAAGACAATCACATTTTCAACTTGCCCTTCCAATGCAAATGCAGTGACTTTACTAATAAGAGTCACTGTTTTCCTACTGAGGCTTACACATTTGAAGTAAACAGATATTTTAACAAGAACTGTTATCAGTCCACGCTCCCATTAGAAAGAATGCAATGATCAGGATTTCACTTAAGTCTTTGTACAGGTGTTTACTACAATGCAGTCACAATACAGAAAGGCACCAAGTTATTCAAGTAAATTGACCTTTCTTCTACTTAACACTTTTTCCTGTTTCTTCATAACCCAACCAGTAACTTCAATACATTGCTCTGAACCAAACATTATTTTCCAGTTCAACAGAATTTTCTGTGCTGTAAGAATAAATAATCTGATTTGGGTGTAAGTATGTAGACACAGGCCCCCGTAAATTCACAAAGATAAATCTACATAGCAAAGTCTCACACCAGATATAGAGTAGATGCCTCTAGCACCTAAGCCATGTATTTTTATAAAATTCATTCATTTCTGTATGCATTTTATAAAATTTAGGAAGTTTTATCATGGCAGAACCTCAAATTACTGAAGTTATCAGTCAAGAATGTGATTTGAACAAATGGTATCACCTTACATAAAAGCTAAACCAACTGAAACAGTGACTACATTTCACATTACATTCATCTTGAGATGGGTAAGGGTAGGCGAAGGGTGGGGGGAAAATCAAAGTCAGCAAACATGTCAAAAAACTCCCCAACTTCTTTGTAATATGTTGGTCACAGTTGTAGAAATAAAGCAGAAAGGTAAACTGTTAAAGTACAAAACAAATTAAGAGTTGCCTACTCATGCATAGATAAAATAAGAACGCACAAAATCAGAGGAGTCAGTCACATGTTTAGAACTGGTTAAAGCAGCATTAACTGACTGAAGTCTGACTACTTCAGCATTACTTCCAAGCAGTGTTAGCAGAACTGCCATGTCAGAAGTTTCTTCATGTATCCACTTTTCCCATTTGCTCAACAATGAGTTCACTTCCAGGCTTTAGTAAGAACACTGCAGGAAGCTTACAGACACAGTAGTATCCTGTTGAATAAGACAATGCAGCTTCAGTAGTTTGTCCTTTATCATATATGGTTTCACTTCTTATGTCTTTCACAGTGCACATTCAGAAGTTGTGTGAAAGGCTTGTTGGCTTGAGGCTAAACCTGCCCTCATTTGCAGGGCACAAGCAGTGCTCTCCTGCCAGGAGACTCATCACAACTGCAGCTACTCCACATTTGCTTTGGGATTACTCACTTAACTTGTGGCTTCAATGCCTTATTTTCATCTCCCAGTAACTCTACACAGGATAATTCTGCCAGATTCATCACTGACAGCATAAGTTAAAAACCACTTTCTTATCTGCAGAAAGTTGCCCGCCTCTATCTGGCCACGGAATTTCTTTCCTTTCACTTCCCATTTTGTGTATGCATGTGAGGTTACTGAAAAACTAGTTAAATCATTAATGATTGTTATTTAAACCGAAGACCTGTGTTTTAGAAACAAACCATCTGTTACTGTTGAATGACCATAACATCAATGAATGTGGCACACTTCCAGTCTTATTCCCTATGAAACGCTAAGCAGTGCACCCCGTGAACTGAAGATCTTACGTGACGCTATTTTAGTTGTTCTGAGCCATAACCACATTTTCAAATAGTCTCTCTACTGAAGGTATTGTGGAAAAAAACGTTACAAAAAAAGCATGCAGAAATCACATCCTGACTTTCCACCCAAAAAGAAAAGTTTCCTGTCCCCTGAACATACCTCTAACCCATTATTTGAATTCTGATCTACTAGCCACAACAGAGACTAGCCTGCATTCTATATAGCTAACACATCTTGGAAATTATGGAAATACATTAGCCTGCATGTATTATGGATATTGTGAACAACTTCCTTCTTAAGAACATCTCTTCAAACTACATTTTTATGAATCTTTAATTTACCATCAGCAAAAAGTCCAAACAAACCTGTAATACAGCCAACACAACCCTATCATAGCTTATGCATTAAGGCAAAGGCTATAAACTGGAAACAGATACAATATTGTTTATAGCTGCTTATGAAACAGGTCTGGCTATTTGGTTTTGTGCTCAGCCCAACAATATTGCAGTAAGGTAAACTTCAGAGAATCACTGGCATTTGAACAAAATTACAAGCTATCTGCATTTAAAGCAGTTTCAATTATGAACAGCTCTGCTAGAAGACATGCTTTCAAAAACTTACATTTTTTGTTTTTCTTGTAATTAAATACTTCAGACCCCAATTTCAGAATCCAGAAAATCACCAAATCAATTATGACAAAAAAACATTAGAGAAATGTGGCTCGGTCAAGAATCTCATACACCAAAATATAATGGGACAGAATAATTTTGAGTACAGAACAACTAATCCTCTAACAAACCCAAGCATGCTTTCAGTGCAGTTAAAAGCTACTGCTACATTACTTTACATACCTGCCCGTTCCCATTCATTTTAATCAAACGCTGAAAGTTGTCCCAACATTCTAACAATTTACAAATGTACATACATATCAGAAACCCAAGTATATTATTAAACTAAAGTAATACAAAATACTGTTTTATGGAAATGACTGAACAGAGGTGTAAAATCTATTGCACAACCTAAAAGGTCATTACTTGGAAAATCCTGAGCTAATGTGCTATTACCAAACAATTCAGGCACTTTTTTTTTTCCTTTTTATTATTACATAAGCAATAAACTTTCAACATATAAACCTCTGGGTATAACAACTCAAGTTCCACCTGTAACAACATGCTGAGAGAAGAAGTATTTAATAAATAAGACTCCCTTCAGTGACTTCCTTACTTGAGACTGGTATGCAAAAGGAACTAAAAGGTACACACTATGATGTTTCAGTTGAACACTGTACTTTAAAAGCAATTATTAAAACTGTAAAAAAGTTCCGCAGCATTCAAAATAAAGTTATTTTTAATCAAGAAAGTTACAGTGTTAGTTCCTTTATCCTATTATAAGTCTTGACAAAGTTGTCAAAAAATGAACAGATGCTCCCTTTGCTGTGTTATCTGTTTCAACTTCAGGATCACAGTTCAGTTCAGGTTTCTGCTGCAATATTTAGATTTCCCTACAGAGAAAAAAAATAATTACTCTCGATTTGTAACAGCAGAAAAACCCTCTCAACTTTCATAAGTACTGTATTATGGTCTGTAACATGCAAAATTTTTTCAATTATGGATTTAAACAGCACAATTGTAAAGACTGTACGCTAAACGATGCATAAGTATTATTATTTCAAATGAAGTAAAGTGAAATAAAGACGTTCAGGCCAGTTTAACAAATTTTGACAAGTTTAATTGTTAAAATGGGCAAAATGCTAGAGTTTGAGGAACAGCTTTGGTTTTTAAGAATTAGCCAACCAGCAACCATTATGCTGTTAGGAAAATGGTTGTCAGACTTATTTTCAGCATTTATTTTACTTAAACATACTTGAACTCATCAGGCCTAAAAAAGAAAAAAAAAATCAAAATTCAGAACTCATTATGATTCTGTGATTCAAATCATACTATCTAGTAGCCAGATTGTGTTAAGCATGTGCTACAGGTTCCAGACAAGAACTTTAATAGCCAATTATAGAACAACGCTGGAAATTATTGGGGAAAGCTCACTACAATAAAATTATAACACTTCTATACCCATTTTACAAGTTCATCATTTTGGGGGGGTAGGGGAGATGGGATGGAATCTTTCTCCACCTATTTTCCACTCATTTCAATTCAACTTAGCCTTCAGAGATAATACTTGTCCAGGCCCATGTATATATGAGGCATTTTCCAATGTATGTCAGTAACAAGTGACCCATTCACCCTGCCCCAAGTGTTTGGTTTTCTTTGTGTTTTGTTTTTCATTCTGTGTGTTTAAGGTTTTTGGGGGGGCTTCCCCCCCCCCGAACTGGGCTGTAAACTTGAGGGTTTTTTGAAAACAGCTGTAAGAACCTGTGCTCTAAGGTGCCTCTGTACCTCTAATCCAACTACAATTTCTTACTTATGCAAGTGTATTTACTTGTAGCTGGATGGACATAGATTTCCAAAACAAGAATTCATACAGGAACACAGAACTGCAAGGGGCTGTGTGGGTCATCTAATCCAACTCTCTGATGTCACCAGTAACTTCATACTACTTTGATCATATTTGTTCAATTCTAATACAGGATTTAGAATGTTTTAACTGCTGACCCTCACAAAAGCTGTAACATTTTATATGGTTCAAAAGTTCTTCTGCAGTTCAACATTATTGTTGTTGCATACACACTGAAAATCAAAACATCATAAAACAGATATGCCTATTCCAGTTTAGGCTTATCAAACCACTTTACATAGACATTATATAGTGTAGCATGTTTTATTCAGAGTGGCACACCAGTGCATACTTGAAAGCAAATGATTAATTTAAGGTAATATAACAAAGAGGGGAAGCACACAGATGTATTAAAAAAATAAATACCCTTCACTTTGATTTAAAACCATAGAATATTATTTTCCACGGAAAGCCACTTTCTTGTCCTGTCAGTAGGAAGAGAAATCAGCTGAGTTCAAGAAAAGAACACTGAAACAGGGGCAACCACAGAATCTCAGAGGCCACCTCTGATTTGCAGCTACCCAAAGCAAGTTTCAGCAAGTCTCCATAGAATAAAAATGGAGGAAACAGGAGGACACAACCAAGTTTGCCTGTAAAGTACAAAGAGCCAATATTCCAGAAATTCCCATCCAAGTTATTCCACGAGGATTTAAAAATTGAAATGGATCTTATGAATATGCATATTTTATAAATGGCTTAGTAAAAAAAAAAAAATTAATCCAACTTACCTTTTCTTTCCTCAAAAATCCATCTCTGAATTTATTAGTGGCAAATCCCCTTACACCAACAGAACGTAACCGCTGGTACTTAGCCTGAATATATAAACCCTTCTGTACTAAGCCTGATTTATAATGGGATTGCAAACGGCCATCTGCGGAGTTGCTCTGGGGGAAGGGAGGAAAAAAAATGTGCAAAATGAGGGCACCAAAACTCAAAGTTCATTTTACAGTTATACACATGTAAAACTTACAGCACCCAGTGACAGAAAGCGCGCAATGGGAAGGGCACACCCTCTGCCTTTACTTCCATTTATTATTCCTCAGACCATCAGCTACCACTTGGCTTGAAGACCTGCTGCATTACTGTTTAAAACATCTGAAATTATCTTCCTCTTAGAAAAAAAGCAAATGTATTGTACAGTGTTTAAACGTGGGGTTTTTTTCAACTTTTAACAAGAGGCACACTCCATCAACAAAAACTTTCGGGTAACACCTCACTGCCACCAACAAATTCAGTCATGCTGAGCTTGCAGTGGGCAGGTGTCGAGTCTAGAGAGTCGTAACAGAAGCCAGTATGTATGTTTTTCCTATAATTTAAGGTCTTACAGTCTGAACATACATACATTGCTCTATGCCTTTGATACCCCCAGACTGGAATACTGTAAACTAAGCGAGTATGAGACTAGGAGTGGAGGCCACAGAGATACTAAAAGGCTTAACAGTGAATGGCATTATAAATACCCAGAGAGAATACAGCAAGATCAACACTGACCATAGCAGCTAAAGTTAGAAAAAATTTTTATTACTGAGCCCTCAGATATGCAACAAAATAGGTGGTAAAATCTTTAGATTACGAAGAACTCTGTCATAATTTCTGATAGTTTTGCAGTACTGCCATTTAAAGTTTTCCAGCACAGTCCTGACATAAAGCATTCATGTATCCTTTAATCTTTTAAATTTAGTTTCTCCACTGCATCCAAATTTAAACAATGGCTTTTCAGCTAAAATCAGAGGAAACTTCCTGACCATATAAATTCTTGTCTTTCTACAAACACCTTTGAAGGGTAGGAGGAAACAAAATATATCACAGAAATAGCCCTTCTTAAGCGTGACACAATTACTTTGGCAAAATTGGTCTCCTTTTGAGAGAGTAAGGATCACTTCAAGAAAAATCACATGCTCTGAGGTTGCAATAACTTTAGTACCAGTTTTTCCCCTGCGTTTTCCACTGTGTGGCTGATGAACAGCTAAGAAAGGACTGTACATGTAAAGAATAGAGGTTTCTTTATGCAAATGCAGAGGTTTTGTTATTTCCCAAGTCATTTCACCCACCTACTTTGTTGGAGAGAACTGAGAAGCTGGCCCCATCATTCCCCCAAGGTTACTCTGATGGAGGACACTTGCAGAAGGCCATTAAATGCCAATGCCTTTCCTGAAGAGTATCAGAGTGCAGGCACAAAAATTTTACATGCTCTTGGCTGTATTCAGTGGGTATGTGCCTACCACAGGGAAAGCTGAAGGGCACTTTAACGCTGGATTAACATCCTGAACACAGTTAAAAGTTCTCTTTTCCCCTACAGCTGCTATGGTTCTCTTTGATTTCAGTGGCTAGAAAGGGGGCCTTGGTGGTCTGCCACTGAACTTGTATGACAGTAGGTAAAAGAACAGAACAAATATGAGATGGGGAAAAGCTGCAAGAGATTGAAAATTCCATTACAGCCAGCTTAGATGTTTCAACTTAAGTATCTACATGTTCCAGAAGTGGGGAGGGAGGGGAATAGCAGTATCATTAATGCAGAACAGAATCTGCTGTAGACAAAGTTAAGAGATGGCATATACATTTAGCACACAGGCACCTCAGTCACACATAGCTTAGAGCAAAACAAGGTGATCTACAGTGTGTGTAAAACATCAGTAACTTCTGGTCTAAAAGTAAGAAAAAATCTGCTAAAGTAGCATTTAGTTTTACATTAAGACTGTTTTATAAATAATGCTAATGACAATCCCTATGAACAAATGGTCTCAAGCTCTAAAATAAGGCTGCATGAGCAAATAGATACCACTTACTGAGTCTGGCTGTGATGGAGTTAGTTTGTGACTAGAACTGCACTGCTAGCACGCCAGTGTTTTGGTTACTGCCCAGCAGTACCTGTAGAGCACCAACACTTTCTCTTCTTCCCCCACTCTGCCCCTCAGCAAGTACACCAGGGAAGAAGCTGGGAGGGGACACAGCCAGGACAGCTGGCCCAAGCTGAGCACAGGGATGTCACATGCCATATGACCTCCTGTTGTCTCTCTGGCAACAGAAACTGAAGGAAGGTGGTTTTGGAGCAGGCAGCCACTGCTTGGGGACCAGTTGGGTATCAGTCACCTCGTGAGAGGTGGTGAGTGACTGCCTTTGCATCACTTTTTTCTTCCTTTTTTCTTCACTTGTTAAACTGCCTTCATCTCAACTCGAGTTGTCTCACTTTTGCTCTCCATATTCTCTCTCCCATCCTGCTGGGAGAGGAATGGAGCTGAGGGGAGAGTGGGCAGCAGGTGTGTGGTGCTTAGCTGCTAGCAGGGGTGAACCCACCACAGCCATTAATATACTGACTTGTGTTTAAAAAGTGAATGCAGTTTAGTTTTAAAGATCACTGTGCACGTACTTAAAGTCTGGCTCGTGATTCATTGCCAAGTGCCATTACAAAAAAGATCCTTTACATTTTGCAAGACTTCTCCAAATCCTTTATATTTCAGAACAGCAGTTTTTATCTTTTTCCCAAGAAGTTAAAGGTACAGCAAGACCTTATGCTTTTTAAAAATACTCTAAGTAACACCCATTTTTTGCTTATTAAGTTTAAATGCCCCCATTATATATTAATCAGGAAAAAATGTGTGGGGTGTGATTTTTTGGGGAGGGGGGGTTGGAATGGCAGACAACAGGATTCTCTCAATGTGTTTTTTTGGTGGGGCTTTGTTTTTATGTTGTTCGTTTTTTTAAATAATCAGTCAAGAAAGTCCTGAGTGTAGAAGATACTCATATAATCTTAATTTCACCAACAGCATGAGAAGGAAAAGCCCCATTACACAGGAGGAAATTAAATGTAAAAAAAAGTTGATGAAATTAAGTGAAATCAGCACTGCTGTTTCCAAGGCAGTGATAAAAGTGCTATACAAATATGCAAACTGCAGTACAAGTGCATATGCTATTTTCCCTACAAATATTAAAGCTCCATGGGACAGATCACTGGATACAATGATATTTGTATACTCTGTGAGATGACAACTTAAATGGACAGTTTCATGCTTGTCCAGTCTCCAGCAGAACTGCAGGCTGGTGTAAATGAAGGGAGCATCCACTATCAACACTGCCTCAGAGATCTGGCAGCCAGTGCCACAGACACTTCTATCACCTGGTGGCTGACAATACAGAGGGGATACTGATCAAGAGGCTGTGGTGTGCTTACATGTTAAAACAGTTTTATCAGGCTGACACTTTAAAATTGTTAACTTCAGCTCAGAAAAAGACTTTACTCCAGCAGAATAAAGACAGCATTTTTTGCTACTACTAGCTTAGCTATCTAAGAGTGACTGGCAATGCACACCTAAATAGGAGAGCCTAAAAGCTTGTTTATGCTACAGCTGTTACGTTTAGCTGGGGGGGGAGAGAAGTAAAATCAAACATAACAACAACAAAAAAACCCAACACACACACACACCAAGCCACATAACCTATACTGACTCTCCCCTTCAAAGTTTCATCCAAAAATTACAGTTACTTAGCCATTAAAATTTTACTTCAACCTCACTGTCTACAAAACAGGAAAGATGACTACCTATTCTGTGTATTATTTTACTCCTGAGAAAACACCTGTTAAAAAAGTAGGGGTAATTTTAAGGTAGAAAATTAGTGTAAGTTGTTCTAGATTTGATTATTACTTCTTACATAAACAGCTCTAACTGGACCCATACATATCATTTCACTGTTAGAAGAAGAGGAAGAGTGTTTTGTTTTTCTGCTGAACCCAGGACAGATTTTGCAATCAAAAGGCCTTAGAAAGCCATTGCACTACCCCAGAAAGTAGCTGCCCACCCCTTTAACATCTTAAAGCCCTGAGAATAAAACTTCACTTCCTTCAATCTTTTTTATGCATAGCTAGCAGTACACAAGGTACCCACAAGAGATTAGCTCCCCAGAAATCCCGGTCTGAATGGGTTAGTAATACAGTTCTGAAAGTAATAACTTCTGTCTTCCAGTCTTCGGAAATACTCTGGGCTTGTCACGTGAAGGAAAGAAAGCTGAGCAGCTTGGGTTTTTTTGATAGATGAGCTTTCTAGTCACTGCTCAATTTCTGCAATTCTCATTCTCAACTTTGCAGTTATCTTATTAATTTCAACTGCAGGGACACAATACTGGACAACCCTGCTCAATCCACTGCCAACCCTCTTACTTACCAAAAGCTAAGCCTCCCATTATTCCAATGGAGACAATTCAGCTATGATGACACTATTTTGCATGGCATTTAATACCTTCAAAAGTGTGTCCCCTGTTACTAAACTCAACAGGTTCGTGCACCGTTTATGTACAAACAACTAATAAAAGCTGATCTGTACCTTAAAGTGCCTTCTGATGGGTCCTGCGTTTTCAAGGTATCCTCTAATGCGTCTGGGAGGGTAAGCATCACTTGGTTTTGAAGAATAGTAAGAATTCTAGTAGGAAAACAGAGTTATAGTTTAAGGTTACTAAGTTATTCAAGAGAAAAATAAAAAATGTTCAGGTTATACTAAAAATATTGCCACATTTTCAGTCTTACAGCGTTTGACACAATGACGCTGTTTGAAGAAACGGTGTATCAGGAGCACAGTGCAGGCTAGCTGAAGGGGATGGCAGAGCCACACACTGTTAGTGTAGTCACCTCCACAACAACCAAACAATTGTATAGCATGTTATATTGGTACTTTAAAAATTCTACTTTTAACTCTGTGTTTCAGGAGAGCATCTGAGGATTACCTGCCCACCACAGAAAACCAGACAATTTCAAAAGCAAGTCACACAGACAACTGGCATTGAAATTGTGTCAACACCCTCAACAGCTGCAGCCAAACAGCCATGGTGGCCTAAAACAGAGCACTCCAGCCACTGACCTACCTGTGCATTTTGGCCCTTTTCCAGCTTTCCCTATGACAGCCCCCTCCAGAGGATGTTGTTCTCTTCCATCATTGAGTAGGATCATAAATATTTACAGAAGCACTGGCATATACTGCATTAAAGTCATCTAATGCAGACAGAACGGACTTACTGATGCACCCTTAGCAATCGTATCAATTTTTTTTATGTTCCATTCTTGCACAGAAGCATTCCAATGCTGCTAAAATTTCCTTTGAGAAACTGGACTTTGGGAGCTTGAAATATATTTTTAAAAGAACCTAAGAAGAGAACTGTCCTGAAATATTTAATATATACTAACACCTAATAACAAATGCAAATGCATATTTTACTGTTCACAGAACTTCTGTTCACTAACAAACTACTAAAACTCTCCAAGAACACTGTTACTAATTGAGGGGGTGGGGGTGTATAAACATAACAGAATGGTGTCAGAATCCAAGTTAACTTTAAACCAGGATTTAGTTTGGGTTTTTTTTTCCTTTCTTGTTTTAGACTATACGAATATCTACAACTCAACTATTTAGCTTCTTACAATGCCTTGACAAGAAGGGATTCGGAGAACAGAAAATGAGAGGAAGAAAAAATTTAAGGAGTGAGGTCAAAGTGGTTTTTTCAAGAAAAAGGTATGGAAAATTAAAATTAAATAGGGAAAACAGGAAATTTGCAACTCTCTTCTTATTCTAAGTATATGAAGACACTCCACAAAATCAAATTAGCTTTAAAGCTGGGAATTCGTCAAGATGAAAAAAAGTATTCAAGAAATTTCCTGGTTACAGTTACAAATAAACCTCTAGAAATTAAAGCATGCTTTAACTAGCTGTGGATACAGCCTTTCCCACTCTCACCTTCCTCAAGACTAAAGTACACTCATGGAAACCCAAACATTAGAACTACTTCATGCAAAGATACAGCAACCTACTTCTCAGAAACTTCCTAAAACAGAGGTTTTAAATTAAAAAAAAAAAGTATTTGTTCTGATTTTCTACTTCCCTCTTTAGCTATCCTCATTTTGTCAGTAGAGTACAAGGCCAGATAGACACTTTTTACAATCAGTGTTAGACAGACAATCGTACCTTTAAGACGTAAGTTCTTTTCAAGTTTAAGGTCAATCCCCAATTACTGGATATTAACATCACAAATGTTATATTTTGAGAATTTTTTTTCCCACTTGTCTGCAAAGCAGCCTCTGCATAGCTGGCCATGAAGAGTCATTTCTTCTTTAGGATGCCTTGCATTTGTACTGGCCATGCTTTCACAGCTACTGTTGTTCCAAAGGGAACAACTCCTTACTGCAGTGCAGGACTTCCTAAAACCTGCATGTTTGCAGTTCACTATTAAGTATGAAAATGCAATCTTCCTGAATCTTCAGGACATTTAACAATAACTCACTGTCTATTTCAAACTAATCTCCTTTGTATTGGAATTACTCTGGTGGGTTGACTTTGTTGGGATGCCACGTGCCCACCAAGCAGCTCTATCATTCCCCTCCTCAGCAGGGCAGGGAGGGAGAAAAAAAAATTTTAAAAAACTCATGGGTCAAGAAGGGAGTTCAATAAAGCAAAAGCAAAGACTGCAAGCAGAAGCAAAGGGAAACAACAGATTTATTCTCTACTTCCCATCAGCAGGCAACATCCATCCTCTTCCCAGGAAGAAGGGCGTCAGTAACCACAGTGGTTGCTCCACAGGACAAACGTCATAATAACCAATTTCTCCCCATGCATCCTTCCTTTCTCTGAGCTCATACTGCTGAGCAGATGTCATATGGTCAGTTTGGGTCAGCTGTCCTGGCTGTGTCCACAAGATCTTGTCCACCCCCAGCCTAGTAGGTGAGGGGGATGTGGGAGAGGCACCCTGGATGTTGTGGAGCACTGCCCAGCAGTAATGAAAACACTGCTGTGTTACCAACACCTTCCTGCCTACCAGTGCAAACCACAGCACTGTGGGGGCTGCTGGAGGGAAAATTAACTCCATCTCAACCAGACACAATACAGTTACTTAATGAGCAGTTACTACTTGCTTTTTGAGACTTTAATCTTAGTCATGAGTAAGTAGTAATTTTTTACCATTAAAAACTTGCATTCCTTTACACTGAAAGAGCCACTGTTGTATCTGCAAGGCAGCTACGTTCCAGAATTGACTACATAAAAGCTACTGTTGATGCACCTCAGAAAAGTTTCATGGGCTTCTGGAACCCTGTCCATAGGGTATTAGTTACAGTGTGTAAAGAATGACAATTTATCCTCTTTATTTTGCAGCCATCAGAAAGAAAAAAAATATTTAGAATTATACTGCACACATTAATAAAGCTTTTCTAGTCTCACCAGTTGCCCAAGTTAGACAAGCACAAACAACTGGAAATGACTGCATTTATTTAGAAGGAATTTTCCAAAACAGACAAGTTTATTTCCACTGAACCTAATATAACTGTCTTGCCCATTTCAGTATTAAAATACACCACAGAAAGATAGACTAAGAAAGACTAATTGTCCAAAACTAGGTTTCATAAATGCAATATCAACAAATATAAGATATTCCATTCATTAACATTCCATCCTCAGGAACATTATTTCAGACACTTCTCATTATGTGGTTTGCTCCTCATTTTTATTTAAAATAAGTGCTTTCCATAACTTTAATCATAACGAGGAGAAACACTGTTTCAGTAACAATACCACCTACTCAAGATCCAGACTTTCCCTTCCAACCACTGATAACTAGAATGCAGGAGAGTACTCTTTTTTTCAAAGCTATTTAATATTACCTCAGATTACCTGCTCAATAACAAGGCTTTCTATTTTACCATGTAGATGTTCCACCATTAAGTGGAAGAATTATGATACTAGAAGCAAATTTCTTTTACAGAATGAAAAATAGTGGTAGCAACGTGTTTTTAGCTCACTTGTATTAATCTCTGCTCCAACAAATACCTGAGGAAGTACTCTCACACTAGAGCTGTGAAATTATGAGTATTTTTATTGTCGAGCACAGATGGAAGATAATAAAGCCTCACTTGAAATTTAAAAGGGCAAAACAGAGATTGTTAAATTTACATCAGCACAGACAAATCAGGAAAAAAAAAATTATACATCAACAGTGCAGAAGCTACTATTTCTATATTTAGACTTACCAGATGAGGTCTCCCAATAAATTTCCTGAAAGCTGGCTTAATGAACCTCATAGGCTTTTGGAAGACATCAAGTTGAGAGGTCTGTAACTTTGAAAGACTGCAGCTTTGCTGGTTCCTGATGCGTAGGAGAGAGAGAGGGAAAAAGAGAGAGAACAGTAAATATGTAAAGCCATGGCATGTCAACACCTTGTATTTTAAATTAGCTTATTCTGGCAACTATATTACAAATGCAGAGTGGCAGTTTTTAAGTAATTTTTTTCCTAGGACATTCGACAAATTACTAGTCCAGGCTCGAATTCCACAGAATTATACAGCAATCTGTATTCTTTTCTGCAATGACAAATTGGCAGAGGTGCTCTGCTTCCTGAAATTCTGGCTATGGAAGTCAGGCTTTCCCTGGCTCAGCCCTCTCGGCGAGTCACTGCTGCCCCCCACTGGTGGAAACGCTTTTTGCACTTCAGCCCCTTCACACCACTAGAGCTGTAAAGCTGTACAGAACTTGCCATTTCATGACACCCCCAATACGACAGAAGCTCAGATAAATAGCTACAGACTCCAGTTTCATCAGCAGCAAGCAGTTTATTCTGGATTTAAACTTTTGCTTGCTTGTTTTTATGGCGTTTGGTTGTTCTTGGGTTTTTTTCTTTTTTTTACTGAGCCTATTGCTAGTATAGATGCATCTGTGTCTAAATAAAACATTTACCAGGAAAAGTAACCCCCAGAGTCAAAACTCATATTTTATGAAACAAACAAACAAAAAAGACAACAGTTTACCTTGCTGAAAAATAAATTACTAAGGAAAAAAATAGAGGCACACTGCATAAGCTCATAGGCATCACCAGTATCTCACGTGAGCTGTTAAAACCCCTCAAGGTCAGGAAAATTCTGAGATGCCATTACTGACCTCAGCCTGAATTACCCTGACAGCATAACCCTCCTCATGTCAAACTCCAGAACAGCCACACTTAGTAGGGAATTGTGCACTTCTGACTTTGAGCACATAGACAAAAGATAAGCAGGACAGTAACTGTGTAACTGGCAAAAAAAGAAAGAAAGGAAAAAAAAAAGCCTTTCCAGAAAACTAGGCCAAACATACACTGAAGATATAGCCCCACGTATGTAAAGGGCTACGTGAAAACAAATCCAGGGGAGTTTTTCCTTCACTTGCTAACCTTAACTTTTTTGGTCTGAAGAATCTCAAATACAAGAAGTTACTTCTGCAGCTTCACAAGTCAGTTTTTCCAAATGTGTGTATGGCCATTAGTTGCCATTATAGACTGCATTTAAAATTAACAAAGAGCAGCACATTAGGAGCAATCTGCAAGTCATGACTACAGTGTGGATACATTTCATTACTGTGGCAGTGCTTTAATCAACATTTCTGCTAACACAAACAAGTCCCTCTCTCAAGTCAAATCTCACAACATCAAAAGCAGAACAGGATGACTGAGGTTAGCAAACACCTCTGGGGCAAACAACTTTAACGAAGCTGCTGGAGGAATTCACAGCAATAAAACACTATTCCAGAATTCCAACTTTTCAAATTCTCCAGGAATCAGAAAAATTCCAATTATTTGTTGGTATTCCACATTCCACCAGGGCAACACAATAATGTATTCATCCTAGAATGCTTTTATGAAACTACAAAATACCAGGAGAATGTTGTTATACGGCACATCAAGGAGTTTAAAAATAGTTAACCATCTTTAATTTCCTCTCCTCTTCCCATTTAGTGCTACAGTTTGGGCTTGCTTTTCATTTTTTCTCAATGCAGTTTAACATCTTTCAAGGTAACACTTCATTACAGTAGTCTGCAATGTATGTCTGCTGAATTTCAGTCCCACTCAAACTTTCTAAGGCCAAACTACGGAAAAGAATCACAAGTGTGAACATAACTGTGTAAGGCTCCAAAAATGAACACATAAGAGAACTACAGGCTTTAGCCAACAAAATGAGTTGCTAATTACCTTGGCGTTACACCATCTACATGAAAGACTCTCTCATCTTCATTCTTCAACCTCTCTTTTCTTCTCCTTTCTATATCATACCGTAGATCATTTGGATCTTCTAACACTCTTACAATGCTCTAGTTAAAAGGAAAGGTTGAAGCCAAGTTAGGTGGTATGAACTAAAAACCGACCTGGTTCTGCTCCTCAGGGGCAGCACCCTGTACCTAACTTTGTTAACACAGATCAACTGTCTGCACATAGGACAGGTCCACATCAACACGGGGATCCAAAGTCTAAAACAGTAACAGATCCAAAGTCTAAGACAGTAACAGCTACTCCTAAACAATTACCCTTTCTTGCACTATCTGCCTTTTTTACAAGTTTCCAAGCAACAGTGAATGGAGCACTGGAATTCTGCACGGAGTTTCCAAGGCATAAATATTCACATAAATTTTAGTAAATCTAAAGAAGTTCTACTAGCCTTAATTAAGTTGAATCTCTGCACACTTGTACTACAGAAAGGAAGTGGTAACTAAATCACAGTAGGCACAGTTTGAAAGAGGAAGACAGAAAATCTTATGACCCCAGATGAAAGCATGGGATAAAACAGCATTCTGAGGAGCTATGTGGATGTCGGGTCATTCTAACAGTAGGGTAGAAGAAATATTAAGGCTTTTTGTAATCTTAGAGGGAAAGCAAGAACCACATGTCAGTCACAGACTTAGTATTTACACTGCTTAAAAATCAGACAGTTCAAGCAGCAGGAATAGCCACACTCCAGCTACTCTGGAGAACATCTCTGCATTTTACTTGTCAGTGAACACAATGTACTTGCAGCACACATGCTCAGGTGTGCATTTTTCTCAAAATACTCAGAATTACTGGTAGTCTTCAAAGCATGTAAAAATTATGGACCAATAGCAAGGGGGAAATGTTGCTTACACGTATAACATTTTAACTTACTGTTTGCCAAAAAAGTTAAGCAATCAAGATACCTGGGGAGATTCAGATGGCAGAGTTCGTTTGTTCTGGAGTTCTGCTAGAGACATGTCAATTCTCCTGGAACACAAAAATATTATATAAAAAAATGCCATCATTATAAAAGCAAAAGCATTACTGACCAACTACAGAAGGCTTTAAAGAATATGGGCAGGTGCATTAGCCAGTGAATAGAAACACTTCACATTGTGTAAAGTCTGCCAAAGATTAATTAACTTAATGCAAATAAATTAAGACACAAAGTTCAACCATTACCTGTGAATTTCTGGATCCAAATGTATTTTCACTTCATTCGTATTTGTACTCGGTTTATCCTGAATTTTTGAGAACCGTTCATGTAGAGTAATGTCAGGAGATGCAAAATAATTTGCTGTGAAGAGATATTAAATACAAGAATGTTATTTGTTGTATTTGTAATGCACAGTAGGAAAATCTATCTTTTAAAAGATTAATTCTTAAGGATACCATGACAACTTTACTGAAGTGGAATTTCAAAGTATTTCCACTTTCAGTTTAACATTCACAAATGAAAGATCAGGCCAGCCCTACTTAGACATTCTTCTTACTTAATAAGATTAAACTCAACAGAAAGCTAACTAATCATCAGCTCTATGATGGTACTACCCAAATTACTAGAATCTATAATGTTCAACACTGAGCATGATGCAGTCTGAACACTAATCTGAAAAATTAAAGGAACTACATATAACTAGAAAATCGTGGCTACAGCAAAACTCCTTTTTTTTTCTCTTTTCCTAAACCAGCAGGTTATTCTCATGTACTAGTATAAAATCGTTTTGACTTTAACACTCCACGATAATGCCTCAGTTAGGGCCTGAGACCTTCTTACAGTTGTTCTCCACCCAGCTACTTTAAATCCTCAACCTACATTTTCCTTACACAACTGAATGAAGCCAAAATACAAATGAAGCCAAAGGCAAATGCCTGAACTTACAAGGACATCATATCCAAACCAACAGATTTGGGTTTAATAATCATATATACATAAACACATACATATACTCTAAATATTACAGCCACCTTTAACTTGATGAATAATTGTGATTATTTCCTGAGTAAATTCTTTTGATGGGTCCTTTTCAACATTTTGTGTTACAGATTCCATGTGCTCAAACACGGGATGAAAATTCTCATTTTTCCTACCAACAGCAGCCAGATCGTGGGATATCTGTCTCTCTGTAGTATGACTGGAAGTAGTCCTAGAACGAAAAGTTAGAGTGAATTATTTTAAAGTTAATATCTACATCTGAAAACTTGAAATAGACAAGTAGAACAAAATAATTGATTAAGAAGTTCATTTTAGGAATAAATGAGATTAAATAAAATCTCATTTTGTTCCTCCTTTTAATTAAAAAATTCATAAGGAAGAAAATTTCTTAATAAAATACAAAGAGATGACTTCACTCTCAGGAATCTTTGTTTCTGTGAAGTGTGAAGTACCAAACTTGTGAATTTTAAAGTTAAGTCATCTAGATTATCAAATATAGGCAAATGAAGATCCTGATGTATCTCTTTAGTATAATTCTGGAAGGCAATTATGCCCATGTCTTTGTTTATAAGGAGTTACCAGGCAATTTTCAAGAACAGTTCAGAGATTTTTTTTTTTTTAATCTCTCATCTTTGGGAACTGAATTATCACTTGAGCCCAGTGAAACAGCAGCAAAACTGCTCCAGGAGCAACGTGTGAATTTAAGAACGTGTTTAGCATCTTTTTGTAAATTTTTTACTCATTCTAAAGGAGTTTACACCCCAAATGGTCGCACTGCTGCTTAAACATTATTTTGACAAGAAAGTCAACACTTCTAAAATCCTGCTGTTCTTGTTGCAAGGAAAATGCTTGTCATTCCAAAAGATATGCTGAGGACTCAGAGGCCATGTAAAAGCTTTTAGGATGAAGACTGTTAACGGTGCATTCTGCAACGATTACGTGCCTGCCCATCCTGTATAAGAAGCCTACAAGACTAGAGTTATATATAAAAATTGTATCAGAAATAGCCTCTAGCAGGTGCATTTATCTGCCCCCAGTAAACTGGAAATAAATGCATGCAAGAGGGAATCCAAACAACCTCAGCTGTAGATGATTTGAATTATCTACCTGCTCCCCAGGTTTATAAAGAAACTATTCTTCTTGGCTCAGTCATTTCAAGTCAGGTGTTTCTTAAATGCCTAAAGTAGGTAGCATGAACATCCCCATTCATCAGCTTCTTTAAATCTAATGTTCTTAAAAAAATAAAACACTTAGGATTTCTGGCTGCAGAAGCAAACCTTCCACACATAAAATTAACTGCAATCAATGCAGTAGTTTCTTTAGTCTGCAAACAATTACCATGTGCATTGTGTATGACCTTCAAAAACAGCAGCAAGAGGCTACCAGACACAAGAATCGTCCTGTGGGTTTGCAACAAAACCCAACAACAATCTTCCTCTCATTATCATTCAGGAAGTTAAATGCTTGTCCTGGCCTGAGGGTGGGAGTGGGCATTACTCCATTTTCCTTTCCTCAGTCTTTAATATTAGCCCCTTATGTGCAGTAACTTGTCTTTGTAACCCTCCACTGTATTACATATTTCTGAAACAGTGGAAAGGGAAAAATATTGATACAGATGTTTTATTTGGGACAAGAGACAAAATACCTTTAAAATGAAGGCTGATCATTTTGGAAAGGAAGGTAATCTCTTCCAAAAGCAATTACTATCAATATAGGATGTTCTGGCCTGCAATAGCAAGGCAACAAACCAGAAAAAAAACCTGCAAAAAATCTAACAAAACCAAACTGCTTACTCTCTACCACATACTCATCATCTAAAGTTTCATAGTATTACCACTTTTTTTTCTGTTTCAGCTAGCATGAGAAATGCTAAATGCAACCACAAGTATTGCACAGAAGATAGACACAAGCAGACTCTACTGCTTTGCAGTTGATGCCTCAACAGGTTGTCACTTTTTTACAAAAATAAGTGACAAGTCAGGGATCTCTCATTTATGACAGTTTTACTGAACTTGAGATCTTGATCAGGGAAGTTTTGTTGTTTGGTTTTCGTTTGTTGGTTGGTTTAATTTTTTTGTCTAATAAGAGGTTTAATAGGTAACTTTTCAGTCTGGGCAAATTAACATTTTTAAAAGAAATAAAACCAAAAGAAGTACAATTTTAGTTTGTCCTGTTACTTCCTAAAGAAACCGTGCTTTCCTCCAATCCCCATAAACCATAAAGAAATCAGAAGAAAGAAGAGGAGAGGGGAAACCAATACCTGTACTTGGTCACCATTTTCTTCAGATCCACTTTGATTGTGAGATGTTCCCTCATACAGTTGACATCTGACACTTTCACATCTGAAACAGTATGACTTGAATCACGCTGGCTATTGGAGGAATCTACGTTTTTCCTCAATTCCCCGTCTTTCCTTACTCTTTCATTCGGTTTGTTTTTAAAAGATCTCGGCTCAACATCCGTTTTGGGAGAGTTAACACAGGCATCGCAGCCCTTCTTTGAGCTATATTTAACAGGTACTTCGGCGTGTCCTTCTTCAGTCCGCCTCGCTCTTCCACCACTAAAGTACTCTAACTCTTTGCTATTCCGGGCACCTTTGGAAGAACCGTATTTCTGCTCCTCCTGCTTCGCGTACTTCTGAGCTCTATCGCCCGGAAAAGGCTTTTCCCCCTCCGGATGCCTGCGCCGTTTGTGACTGTACTCATAGGCTATCTTTGTGACAGAACCCCCCACGTACTCCCTTTCAGCCGACCGGTGGGACTGGGCACCCGGGTATCTTTGCTCCTCCTTTTCTTGGTAGGGTGGAAAAGAACGTTCTTGCTTCCACTTGGAATTTCTTGCTACTTCTCCACCGTCATACCTCTCCATTTCCTTAGCCCTTTTAGACGTGTGCCCATATTCTCTGTAATCGTGATCTTCAGGATACCTGTGTTGACATAAAGCAATTTACACTTGCACTAGAGAAGAAAGCGAGAACTTATACGTGCAGAATGCTGGACAGCAGAATGCGTGGCAAGTTAACCCAAAATCCCTCACGCCAAGGTACAGATGTGCAGGGGCTCTTAAGAGGGAAATATTATCCTCTCATTACTACAGCCAGCAATACGATTTACTTAAAAGACAAACACTTCACTAATACCAGTCGCCCATAATTAAACTACAAAGTGGCCAACGTGTTTCAAGGTGGATATCTTCAACTATAATGAAAACAGACTTTCACTTGAGGCTTTACACCAAAATACCCAGGGTTTAATTATTTTATTCCTATACCTCTTCTGTAAAGAGCTCCTTGCCGTAAATTCATCAGAAACTCTTCTGGGTGACTGACCATACTTCTCTTCATGTAACCTCTGGTGCCTCAAATCATCTTCATGCCATTTTCTTTCAAGTTTACATGAAGACCCTAATGGTCTATGAAAAGGCTTCATTCCTTTCTCGTTTCCAGTGACTCTGTAGTGATCAAACACATATCTGTCCTCCATTTTGTGTTGGTAAAATGGACGATCATGCTCCTTATAAGCTATTTCCGAGTATTTTGGTGGTAACTGGCATCTCCTATTGCTTTCAGTTCTTTCAGATGAATGTGTTCTGTAGGGCTTATGACTGTAAGCATCTTCCATGGGAATTCTTTTCAGGTTTGGTGAAGGTGACCTACGTTCATATATTCTCTGATGGTTATTTCCATGAGGTGCAAACCTGGAATTGCTTTGTCCATATTTTTCATCTTCTGTTCTCCAAGGCATGGGTTTCTTTGGGTCCTTACGGAAGCTTTTATATTCACAGTCATAATTAATATGAGCATGCCTTTGCCTATGGTGCTCTGGACTCCTAAATGCTGGAGATAAGGACCTAGAGCAAAAATAAAATCCACTTTCAGTAGTCCATAAAATTGAATCATCTTCTTAATGAGAACACCTATTCCCTAAGGAAGTAGAGTTTAGTAGACAATTTTAACCAACTTGTAAAAAATTTAAATCCAGGATATGCAAAGTGACATTTTCTTGGCTAAAGCAGCAAGCTTACTTTTACTGTGTTGAAAGTTTTCATAGTAAAGATACCCACTCGAAATAGCAGTAAGTCAATCATTTTTGTCTCTTCAAAGTTTTTAATTTAAAACTTAAAATAATTTCATATATATGAAGTTTCCACTACATTGAAAACAACTGTTAATCATATTTTCACACTTCTCAAGCTTATTCCTTTATCTTTCTCAGTGCCAAGAGAAAAAAGAGGAAGGAAAAACAGTATATAAAGAAACTTAAAAAGAGGAAAAATGCCTTTTCAGGTTTTCTTCGCATGTCAAAACAACCCCCAAAGCTTACTGAAAACATTATAAAATATTCTATTTAAAATGTCATACAGGTAGGCTTTTTCCTACAGAAAAGACCAAATTTCAAGAAAATGCTTAGGTCTTTTTGAGTAATTGTATGTACATGTTCACACATGTATACATATGCACTTCCACACTTACTGCAGCTTTTGCTATTAAAGATTTAATTGCATCACTCTGCTTAGCATTTTCACCTACACTTACAAAAACAAGGGCAACCTGCTAGGAGGTTTTAGCCAAAATCTGCTTAAATAAAGAAAAAGCAGCACAAGCCATTAGCAAGAACCAGAAAGTAATCCCAGACATAACAGTTCTGCCTGTATTCAAGCATTCACTGCACTCTCTCAACACACTCTTTACGGAAAACACCAAAAAATGCAAGTAGGAAAAAAAAAATCAAGGAAGTCACTTGCTTTGTACACATATTGCAAATGTACAATTTGGCAGAACTGTTTGCTCCATTTCTGCAAATGAGTTCAGTCTCAGAACCACAGACCTTCCTAAAAACATAATGGCTGACTTCCAATAGCACCCGTACTGCGGTTGCTGTCCCATGTTGGTCTGGTTATGGCTTGCATTTTAGTGAGAGCTGGGGCATTCCTCCCTGCTCTTACTCAAAGGACATATTCACAACTATCAATCTAGTATGGACATGGATAGGGTTTCTCTTTTTAAAAACAAAGAAACAAATTAGAAAACCCACACATTTTTCTCCATTATCCAAACTCTCCCAGTCTTGTTCATCCCAACTTAGTCTGTTCCTGAAACCAGCAGAAAAGTACTTTTGAGCTCTCAAAAGCTCAAAATTGTATTCTAACCTCCTAGTTTTAGCACCTTGAATTTGCACTGGAAGCCTTACACATTAGGCAGGTAACTAACAGCACAAAGTAAGCTGGATGTTATTCTGGTGACATCAATAACATGTTACTAGGCTAATGTCCAAGGAGAAGGGCACTGACTCCCGTGTTTCCAGTTTGTGTTATGCTGCAAGGCATGTTTGACTGTGCTAAAGATCAGTTTGCAGTTGAGCCCCCAAACCTCAGAAAGCCCAAAGCGTTTGAACTAAGAAGTTTAGGAAAAACCAAAACAACAAACTAATTCATTTTTTTCAACAGCCCCTCCCTGTAAACCAAGAGCAAGTTACAGACATTTAAATGCACAAGGTAGTGCTTGAGTAAAAATAACCTTAAATAGTTTGGTGCTTCAATTTTGTGCTTAAGGTAGTTCTAAATCCCAAAACATGGAAGGTGAACAAGGTTCTTGACAGACTGCAAAAACTTAACACCTCCAGCTTAATAAATATCATCATCATCAAACTGTGAGCTGGAAAAACACTGTAGAAGGTGTTGAGCTTGGAAAACAGATTATAATTTACAAAATACATTTTACAAATTGCAATTCTGTATGTAATTTTCAGGTCCTATCTATAAATCTTCATAGAGACCTACATTTCAGAACACAAGTTCTAGATATCTACCTTGGTTTCCATCGTGGTGATCTTGATCTAGATCTTGTCATCTTCTGTCACGTGTTTATGAGTTTCTTGAAGCTGTAAAAATGATACAATTTACTAGTTTGATGACAAATTGCAACAGGAGTGGTTGTTTTTAACAAGTGTAGTATTAGATGCTTCAAAGTTGGGGTGAGGCATAATTTTAGGACGTTTTACTTAACAGGTAAACCTCTAATACCCATTTTAAGGCAAGTAGTTGGGTTTTTTTCTCCTAATTGCTTATCTTATTTTCTTTATAAAGATTTAAATATTTGATCATTGTTCCATTTTTCTCACCATCTATTCACCCTACTTTTAAATGTTAATAAACTCATAAGCAAGTTGCAGCAACTGAAAAATTGCTGTGGTTGTTAGTATGTGTTGAATGCTGTAGATGATAGAGGAGAAATAGACAGCTTTAAAAATCAAATTTGTGGGAAAAAAAAGGGTTTGCATCAAGTTATATTCTGAATTCTATATATATTTTTTATTTCAAATTTTTAATATACACCAATATTTTTATATGGTTACAGACCTCCTGTAAGCTTTAACTGCTCTATCAAATCTTAACTGCTAGATCATCACATATTTCATCCAAATACAAGCATATAGAAAACGTCACTTTTCATTTTTATACTTCACCTGCTAATAACCTACTACCTGGACACATATTTAAATATACAATGGATGCACTATGACAAAGTGCTGCTCCTGACTCCTGAAAGTAGCTCTGGGCATCCCTTCTCATAAAAGCTACAGAACAATGAGAACAATATCAGTGCAATCTGCCCTTTAGCTCTTCTTTGCAAAAAGATATTGGGACCTTGGAAAACAAGTGATGAAAGTATATACCAACTCACCAGTAATGTGAGTGGTGAAAAGGAATGAAAGCATTATTCATTATTTAGCAAACACAAAGGATTAAAGCAGAGTGAAATTATTGGCTAACTGGTTAAAAACTGCAATTTGGACCACATACCCATACCTTGCAATTGCCACAAGATGCAGTAAAGGGCAGAAATATAAACAGATACAAAAGCAGGTCCATCAACAGCTCTAAAATTAATGAACAACCAATCACTTGAAACTGAGGAATACGCCCAGGTCAAGGTCACTCTCTAAGTGCTCTGGTATTTTCTGTAATTATTTGCTCAGACACTCACGGAGACAGAAAACTAGTCTGAGCTGGCCAAGCATGGCCTTTCTGATACTCCCAGTGTTCAAATAATTTCTTTAACTAAATCTTTTACCTGAAGAACTGAAACTGAAAGGGGAGAAGAAAGCTTTAGGACACTACCTGAACTATTGTGCACCCACGTCTGACCCAGTGCCACACACATTCCACCCCATGCCACTACTTGGTCAAATAAAGTTTAATTCTTTGCTATATTTGATTTTTTTTGTATGAGTAACTCATGGCTGAAACAACAGTATCCTAAGAGAAGAATGTACAGCATATTTCTTATGCCTACCCCACAGGTGGATGTTAGATAAGCCACCTCCTATATTTCAGAGTGATTCTGGAAAGTTCTCACTGAGTTGCACAGTAAGCTAACCAGACATTTATTTGCATCACATAGCATTAGCTTAGTCCTGGAGAAAAACCTCTGGAATTTTTTAAAAATCTCAAAACTCTCCTGTTCACCATGAGGTTATTTGCTCCACAATGGATCATTCCACGTGATAAAGTACAAAGTTTTAAGTGTTGCAAGGGATAGTGAAGCAAAAAAAAAATCCAATCCCAAAGTACCACAAGGAGAAAATACAATACTTGTTCCCTGAGCTTTCAAATATGAAGTTATCCCTGCCTCTTAGATCCTAAAGGCATGTATCTGAGGGCTGCACAGCATGAATTAACTTCAGACCCTTTGCTTACTTGAACATCACGCTAGCCAAAGTTAAATATGATGCTCCAATGCCAGTATTCATTAAATATTATTTTTCAAAGAAAAGTAATGCTGTGACAAAAATGCTTGGCTATTTTTCACCCATACAAACACACCTTACAAAACAGAACATTATTTCAGAAACAAAAAAACACACTCCCCAGCTAACACATTTCAAAACGTGGTGTGTGCCCAGCAAGCTTCAAAGATTCACTACTATCCTCTCTTCTGGTTAACTTTTAAAGGTGACAACGTTTTACGTGCTGATCAAATTATTTCTTTATATCTTCCCTTCGGTTCTGAACTTCACTCTTCATTTTCAAGTGAGTACGTAAACACCAAGAAGACAAAAGCACCATTAAACCCCACCCATCCATTGGTACAGAACCTGATCTGCCAGACTGATCGAGGGAGAAACGGAACATACATAACGAGCAATTCCTTATTCTTTCGAGACTGGCTAAACAATGGTACCTAAAAGCCTGAGAAGCACTGTGACAACATGTCCTAGATCTTGCCTTAGGATAAGGAGGACTGCTGTAATTTCCAAAGAAGACACTCCTTTTGTTTAGTGGAAAGAAGTGTTCGTGTGTTTCAATGCACCTCCTCAAAAGTGACCTATGCAGTAAGATTTCCTCACAGAGGAACACACCATACAAAGGCAGCAGACACTCGGCCCCAACCAAGAGTCCCCATGTAACACCAGAATCACAAATTAATCTATATAGAATTTGTAAACCCGTTGCTAAATCCAGGTTTAAATCACCTCAACTAGACTAGCAGTATGGTTCCATACCAAAAGCAAGTTTTTTGTAGGATGGTATTGGGTAGCAAGCCTGTCTATAGCAGAATTACTTGAATCAAGTGTAGGCCCTACAGTTTCTGAGTCAGCATCCAGGTGCTTCTGAAAAGCCAGGTCATGTTGGAGCAGAAATAAACCAGGACCTGGTTGCTCTGGGCTATGAATTTCTTCAAGACCTTCTGCTGTGCTTTGTGAGATGCTGTCACTATGAAAACATGAAGAACTATTTTTTTAACTAAAAAGCATTATTAGGTTCATAGTGCTGCTTGTGTTTGCTGTGTTACAACAATAAGTGACTTATTGGAGGAGTTATCAGTAACTGTGCTTAGACAGTTTTTAAATATTAATGGGAATCCCACCTTTTATTTTCTTTCCCTTGACTTTTGGAATTGAAATCTCCCTCTCAGGAGAAATGGCCTCAAGTCTGTTGCCAGCTCTCTTTGATTCCACCCTTGAGAGATCAGTGCTTTAACAAACACAAAATTCTTGTAGTATATATCTACTACAAACCTGAAAGCAGTATCTTGAGACAAGCAGCTCAAAACCAACCAGAAACTGTATGGGATGTGCCAATTTGAACACATGTTCTTTCAGAAAGGCTATAAATTTTTACCAACTTGCTCTCCTGAACAGAACAATCTTCAACCTCCTTGACATTCTCCAGCAGAAACACAAGAAATCACAAGTGACTAAATGACTGCAGTCATCTACCTGGACAGAGGGAAATGGAGCTCTTCCTAATGCAAAGAGCCCCACAGCAGCAAGCCCGAAACAGCTGAAACCTTGCTAAACCCTGTGTCTGTTCACCATACACAGTAGAAGCAGTTAACTCTCCTGTAAACACTTACAATTGTATGGACTGTTTTATAAGGTTTTTGGATTCTTCTATCATCTACAACAGATCATGGAAGAAATTCTATTTAGGACACACAGGAGGCAGATCCAATACCAACAGGGCTCATCACCAGGGAACTGCTGTTCAATGCCATTTCACCTCCAGTGAAGGGAGAGGCCATTCCTCACTCCTCACCCTCAGTGAGGGATTGCCCGGCCACCACTGCCACTGACTGGCAAACCTTTTAGAGGAGAGGGATAAGCAAGTCTCATAGGTTGGGTCCCACAGCTGACAGGAAGACAGACACTGACTCCTGCTGCAAAAACTACCCACCTCACTTTTCTCTCACTTTGCCCAAATAGATAAGGAGCAGCTCCAAGCTTTCCATTGACTGTCTTCTAGGCAGGGATCAATCGGAAGCTGCAAGGGACACGCCAAAGTCTCTATTGTTGCAGTGTCTGTCAAGAAAATAAAACCAGCAATTGATACTCAATACCAGGACAACCAAGTCTTTGACAGAAATACAGTCAAACTCCCAGCTGCAATCCAGACATTTAAAAAGAAAAAAAAAAAATCTTAAAATCTGCAGTACAGAAAGCCATCTACACCATCATTAAGTGAAAAGCATAGAACTGGCAGCTTCTCTAGTAGGTAGGTTAGAATATCTGATTCAAAGGCTGTCCCAGCAGCACCCACCCCAGACACTGTCCAAGCAGAACACAAGCCTGGCATGTTCTTTTCTATTCAGCTTCCAGGCAAACCTTATCATCTCCAACAGCAAACGCCCAGGAAGGAGTGCAAAACCAGACAAACACCCCCCAACAAACCAGTCTCAGTGTTTCTCAACCTGCAACAGGACTTTTTTCGTCAAGGCTTCCTAGATTGGCTTCAGTACCATCACCACAGGCAGAGGTTTCCAATGCAGTGCTAGGTCATGCATACACCCATTTCTCTGTGAGCTTTCCACTAAACACCTTTGATCTCAAAACCACGGCTCCCAAATGGCACCTGCATCCACCAACCCCAGCCCTCCAGGGGCTGGAGAAAGGATGTCACCAAGCCTGGCCTGTGCTCCAGCAATGCTGTCCCAGCACCAGAGGTGCCTGGAGCCCAGTTACAGCTCTGCCAGCACATGGAGGTGACTCCCATCCCAAGGCACGTCACCTCAGGGAAGGACATATGTGACAGGTTTGAAAACTATGAGCTAGAGCATCTGTTCAAGTCAAGGACACACACTCATCTGAGGCAAATGAAATTCTGCTGAGGGATTTCTAAACCATTCCCTCTTTTAGACAACACAGCAAGTAAAAGATCAATGCAAGTGACTGAGATCCAAATTTCCATCCTCAGTTTTCTCATGGCCCTCCTATATTCAACAACTGCTCTTTTTGATTACAGATCCCTCCTCCTAGACTTTTATCACTCTCAGAGCACCTTCCACATCTCCAAGGTTATATTTTGGATCTCCACAATATTGTGTAGCAGGTCCGGTAGCACCACCCCCAGGTCACTGCTGTCTTACAGCCTAAATCCTCACCACCAACACTACCAGGGAGATGATCCTTTTTTTTTTTTTTTAAACCACCTTCATAACTTGTCCTCCTTCTCAGCTTTATCGTTTTTCTTTGGCACAAGCTGGGGAAGGCAGGTTTTATACAGGTTGTATCCCAATGCCAAGGATTGTTAACAGACAACCAGGCCTCAAATTAGCACGGTAACTGTGCCGTGCAGGGACACTACAGAAAGTACAGGCCTAGCTGAAGCATACAGAATTTCCTAATGGACCACTAAACAAATTAGTAATGGAATACATAGAAAGTATTCCCCCGTGCCTGCATATTTGAGCAAAAGAATAAAAATAACTGAGTAAGTCTACTGAATATATAACTTCTGTGTTCTCATTTAAAGTAACCCGTTTAATGACACTAATTAGCAGGCGATGCCTCACCTTTGCAGAAAAACAGATTACAATGCCAACTTGGAAGGACTGAGCAGGATAAATCTGTGTCACATAGTAAGTGAGGTGTTTAACTCTCCAATAAACCTTTTTTTTTTTTTTTTTTTTTTACACAAAGAAAGCACAACCCATACACATATTAGTGAGCCATTTTTATAATGTGTTGAATTAGAGGCCTTTAACACCTGTCCACTACAGTGTCAAATGTCACAGCACCATCCCCAGCCACTTCTGCCTACCACTTTCTAAGGGAACACCAGAAGCATGTCATAGTCCCAGAGACAAACTACCACAACTTCCTGCCTCTCTAACACATACAAACCACGATGGAAACCTTTGCTTTTTCACCTTAGGTCAACAAAACCACCAGGAAACTAAAATGAGACCCTTATTTATTCAGAATCAGAGATGCCACACAGCAGCATTACCACGAGGCTGGGAAGCCCGGGCTGCCTTCTCCAGTCACATCAGAGAAATGCACCCTTGCTGGAAGACTCCCAGCATGTTTCCTCCCTTCCCTGCAGACAGCGAGCGCCTGCTGCCACCTGAGAGGAAAAGCAAACCTAACTCTGTGCAACCACATCGCTCATCAGCTTGCTGCAACACCAACCCAGCCACTGTTACCTCCTTGTGAACACCCACAAGCCAAGACTGCACAGAAATCAAGCCCATCTCATCCCAGCGCAGGCGGATGGAGAGTTGGTTTGATCACTCTTACAAAAGCAGTGGCAGAAATACCAGTTATTTTGCTGAAGGCAGATGTGGAGGAGTGCATGGACACTCAAGACTGACAGCTGTTTATCAGGATAAGAGGGTGTGCCTCTAGAGGAAGTTAATTAATTCAGTTCACCTCGTCAACACCAATAGTAGGGAAAAAATGAAATGGGAGAAATCCTCATAGCTTCTGATGAGTCTTACAGAGTATAAATATGAAACAAGGGGAAAGACTTAGTCATCCGTGTTCTCTGCCCCTCTCTGCCCAGCCCTGTGTCAGGCTGCCACAACATGACATCCATCATCAGAGATCCTTCCATGCCTTTTGCATATTTCTTCCCCTCCCTTCCTGGCATCCTCTTCCATACTCTTCCTCCAGCCATCCACACCCAGCAAGACTTTCATGAAAGATTCACTTTTCCTTGAGGCCCACAAACACGCAAGGTAAGCAGCTAATTAAAATCTCCCAGCAATTTGAGTAGCCTTTGTTTTAAACCCTTGTAACTCAGGAACCTAAACTATATTTATAAGTGACTTGGGGCATTTAAGAATGGCAGTAAAAATTAGGTATTGCTGTCCTGGATGGAGTTGAGCCAAGTGAGTAGACTGCTATCAGTGGTTCCTCATGAGACGCTACTGCACCCCAGGGCTGTATGAATAATTGTGCATAATGAACTAAACCAACCAAAGAAGTATCAAAAAAACCACTGATTTGGACAAACCAGCACCAAGTCATCTTGCTTTGGGTTGACTCAGTCTAGAAAATATATTAAGCTAAACCAAAGACGTGCTGAAATTGAGATGTAACTGCTATACGAAACCTGTACCGCTTAAAGTCTTCACAACGACTTTAACTGGCGTAAATCCGCGTGTGACAACGTATAGATTACTGGGAACAGGGACTGCTGGCATTTATGCCTTGCTCACCTCTGGGGTGTCCTTACAGAGCAGCGAGCAGCGATCTCCGCTCTGCGGTGCTGCCGGCCCTGAGGATTCACCCCACACGGCTGTTCTGGAACACTCCCGACACGGGGGCACGGCCGACAGACCCGCGGCGACTTTGTCGCCCCTGCCCTGCGCTTTGTTCCTGCCCTCCCAACCCTCGCCGAAGGCACCGCACCACGAACACACGGGTCTGTGCTCAGGGAGGCGCGGTCCGGGTGCCGCTGCCCCGCCAGACCCAAGATGGGAGCAGCGCAAGCCCCGCCGACCTCCAGCCCGGCACCAACGCTCCCAACGGGCCGGCCCTCCCGGGGGGCACCTCCCACCCGGCCCCGCCGCCTCCCGGCCGGGCCCTCGGGGGGCGCGAGGGAGACCCGCGTACCCCGGCCCGGCTGAGCCCCCGGGGCGGCTCGGCCCGCCCGCTCTCCCCACCCGCCGGGGCCGGGACTGGGGCTGGGGCCAGGCCGGGGCGGCGCTGACAGGGACAATGCCCGCGGCCGCCCCGACCCCGGCTCCGGCTCCCCCTGCCCGCGGCACCGGCCCCCGCCCCCCTGGCCGGGCCTCAGCAGGGCCCACCGCGGCCGCGGGGCCGGTCCCCGCACTCACCGCCTGCGGAGCCGCTCCCGCCGCTGCTCCGGCCGCCGCCGCTCCGCCCCGAGCAGGTGCCTGGCGAGCAGCGGGGCGGGTCCCGCGGGCCGTGCGGCCGAGGCTGCTCCCCACGGGCGCGGCGGAGAGAAAGGGCGGGCGGGGGGCGGGCGGCCCGGAAGGGGCGGGCCGGGCGGGGCCGGGAGGTGGTGGCTCCGGCACCGCCCCCGACCGCCCCTCTCGGGCCGGGGCCGCCCCCGCCCCCCGGGACCCTCGGGCCGGGCTGTGTTGCTGCTGTTGCTGCTGCTCGGGGCGGCCGCGGGGCGGGACGGGGAGCTCTGGTGCTTCCCGGCGTATTGAGCTCCGAGCAGCCACTCGGCTGGAACGCCCCGTGGAAAGCAGAGCCCCTCCCGTGACACCGGGGGCATCAGGCACAGCATCGACAGCCGGTCGAGGGAGGGGATTGTCCCGCTCTGCTCTGCACTGGGGCGGCCTCACCTTGAATATTGGGTGCAGTTTTGGGCACCACGATATAAGAAAGATATTAAGGGGCAACAAAGATGGTGAAGGGTCTCGAGCGGAAACCGTTTGAGGAGTGGTTGAGGGCACTTGTCTTGTTCAGCCTGGAGGAGACCTCATCATGGTCTACAACTTCCTCACTAGGGCAAGAGGAGGGGCAGGCACTGATCTATTCTCTGTGGTGACCAGGGAGAGACTTGAAGGAATAGCCTGAAGTTGTGCCAGGAAGGGTTGGAGTTGGATATTAGAAAAAGGTTCTTCCCCCAGAGGGTGGCTGGGCACTGGAACAGGCTCCCCAGGGAAATGATCACAGCACCAAGCCTGACAGAGTTCAAGGAGAATTTGGCCAATGCTCTCAGGCACATGATGTGACTCTTGTGGATTGTCCTATGAAGGGATAAGGGTTGGACTCAATGATCCTTGTGGGTCCCTTCCAATTCAGAATATTCTGTGTTTCTGTGACACTTCCCACCACCCCTCTAGCACAGGGAGTGGCTGCGCTCTCCTGCATGGGGCTGGGGGTGGCCAGAGCGGGGCAGGCCCGAAGTGCTGGTGTTTGTTTGCCAGGGACATACCATGGTCCTGGCCCTTTTGCTGGTCTTGCCTGTGCCGTAGTGGGTCAGGCAGGAAAGGCTGGACCAAAGACCGAGGCTGGATGGGCTCAATTCCACAGCTGAACCCATCTGAGGTGAGGCGACCATGGCCCCCTTGTCCCAGGCTGATGCTGTGAGGGTCGTGAGATGTAGGTGGTGCTCACCGAGGCTCTTAGCAAGTTCCTGGAGTTCCTGTCGGAGCTTGCACTGCAGGATGGCAGCGCTTTCCTTCCCTGGGAGATCGGATTCATTCCCTCGATCGCCAGTCCTGATAGCCAGCAGGCCCGACAGGTTTGGCGTGAGTTTTTTCTTCAGGAGCTGTAAACAGCAGGGTCACACACTGACACATACTGAAGTCCTTTCAAAACAGAACACCTTTTTATGGCAGAAAACCACCCAGAAATAGATTTAAAGATCACGCAAACTGATGCTATGTAGATTACACTGGCATCCAAGGCTGTTGGTCAAGGATCGTGAATACTACTTTGGTGCATTGTCAGATCAGCTCATTAATATAAAATTTGATTCAGCTCAGATGCAGGCACACACTTTTAGTTTAGCCCAAGCGCAGAACTGATGTTGGTTTTGCATTTTTACAGTAGCTGCAGGAAGATGAGTGATACTTGATACCGTATAATTACAGGGCACAGACAGGCGATATCTGATCTGGTGTAAAGTTAGCCTGTCAACATTTTTTTTTTTAATCAAATTAATTTAAGCCCAAAAAAGAGGCAGAGTTAGCACTCTGTTTTACACAGCCTTAATATTTTTGATCCAACTCAGAGCCACAGTGCTACATTTACTCTGTCATCAAACCATGGCCTAATAGGGTGAAGTTATATCCTGCTTAGTTCTTTGTGGACTAGCTCAAACACAAGGAACCCCACACAATTTCTGTATAAAATAATTTCCTGCATTCACCAAAACACTTTGAAATTCTCATAGTCAAAACATGTAGAAGTATAGGATTATTTTTAAATTTAATTGTAGTGTTTTTGCAATTGAAAGGGACTGCAAAAGACTTACTGAAGTGTAGGGCATAGTGACAGTGTCTATTTAGTCCAGTGTCAAGCTGGACTAAATAATGCTTCCTCTTTGCCATGTTGGCATTTTTGTTATTAGACACTTGGGATGAGAACTGGGCTCAGTGAGCTTTAGACAGAGACAGTGAGATTGAAGCAGACAGATGCTGTTAATCTGCACTTTCCCAAAGAAACCTGGTCCAGCCTGGGGCGGCTGAGCCACATAATGTGCAGTACCAGTTCGGCACAGCTCTCACAATACTTGGGATAATCACTGTATAGGCAGCCACACTTTCATTCTCAAGATTCATAAAGTCAAACTAACAATAAAAAAAAGTTTGATTTTATTCCTTACTTCAGCTGGAGTAGTGATTTGCCTGATTTCTGCACATAGAGGGGCTACCGCTGCCCTGGAACTTGAAGCAAAAACTGGTCCAAAGCATGAAGTACAGCCAGCCAGCCTCCATATAATAAGGATAAATATGGATAGGATAAATAAGGATAAACTTCTACATTACAAAAATGAAATTATCAAATTTCATTATTGACCTCTTTACTTGAAGGTGCCTCAGATGGTCTTGATCCCACATACATTTATACTGATGGATAGCAGGATGGATACCATCCTGCTGGATATTAAGTACACAAGGATCTCAGTGGTTGGGACCATGTAGTCTAAGAAAACAAAAACTTAAGCACACTTTACAAGTTATATTAATATTCAAATCAGTGCCTGTTAGTAGCTCCACAGCATCATTATTCCCCATCTCCGAATTGTGAAGGCTATTCTATTGCACAAGACTTGGCAATTACTGCTTATTAAGACTAATTATTTTAATCTATTTCCATGTTTTATTTCTAATTAAGTGTCATTAGAATAGAGAATCACTTTCGTATTCCTTTAATGTTTAATTTAGTAAACATTCCCTTTGGAAAGAGCATGGCTGTGGTTTGCATGCTAAATACTTGGAAATGATGAATGGAAGTTACCTAAAATTCAAAGGCAGGAACTAGCCCTCAACAGTAGACAGATCCTGTGTATCTGTTCTTTCAAGGAGGCATTTCATTTTCCACATAAAATGTTACTGTTGGCACTGAACTTTGCTGAACTGTATTATGCTAATCTAAAAAAAAAAAAAAAAAAAAGGAAATAAAACATTTCCTTGATTGCTGGCAAGGTCAGGCACAGCAGCAGGCAGAGCAAGGGAGCCCGAGCTGTGCTGGGGAGCATTGCCTGGGCTTTCCTGCACTGGCAGGGCTGACCACCACAGCAGCTGCTGCTCAACACCTACTCCACCGAGGTGCACCAAATAAATTAAATTAAAAGCTCTTTGTAAGGAGTAGGTGAGCTTGGTTATCATACACAATTTTTTTGTTGTCTGCAGACAGAGCCCGTAGATGGTGACACTTAAAAGGGAAGAAGCACGTTGGAGCAGTGAGAGAGGGTCTGATGGAGTCAAAACCCTCAGGGGCACAATCCACCATCAAGAACTGCAGTTCAAGGGTAATCATGGTTTTACCAATCAACCACTCATAATATCTACATATATCTAATATCTAAAGGGAAATGTCTCTTTTGTACTTCACTGTCTTGTTATGCCTCCTGATAAGATTTGCATGCTTCATTAACTTGAAACTCTGCTTTTGGAGGAGTTTCACTTTTATGCTTTCTTCTTCTGCCCCTCACCCACCACCACCCCTTAGTGCAATCAGGCATTTTTTTATTAAAATACTTTCACCAAACCACAAAGTGTCTCTTCTGTCTTGAAATGAGGGCAATCTGCCTAATTCTTTGCAGGCACCCTACTCATTTGCTTCTTCTAATGAAAATAATAATAAAGAAATATTTCTGTTGTTCAGTGGAACAAAATTAGCTAAACCTCCAAGTCCCCAGCAAAGGAGCATCAGCTCTTATTTTACAGAAAATGAGGTATTAGTGTTTAGGTCAATTCCTGAAGTCACTTGTCAAAGTAACTTTAAATCTGTAATACCTTATCCAGACAAGGCAAGAAGTTGTTAAAGAATAAAGCCAAAACCCCAAATTTAGTTTTAAGAACTTAAACAGCTTTCTGGGGAAATGTGATATTTTTTCAGTCTAGGCTCAAAGCAACAGATAATGACTCTCTTCTTAACTGAGGAAATAAGTAAGTCCTACATTATTTAGCCTTGAAACTTAAGGAAAGCTGAAAAATAATTGTTCAATTAAAACCCAAAGGAATGTGAGAGGATGACTGACTGCATGACTTGGCTCTGATAGTATCACCAACTTACTCTTCAAAGAGAGCCTCTATCAGGCCTGGGTTCTCATGACGTAAGGAAGCCCAAATGTTTTATTTACAAGGTTATCATGGCTTTCCTGTAACAAGATGTGAAAATGTGCTGTTGCTGGGAGGCGTAAGGCCTGTGTAAACTTGGTAGGATTTTGGCAAAATACCAGTGAAAACAATCTCAGTGTATGAATTAACACCAATGTGTGACATAAATACAGTAACAGGATTTTAAAAGCAAAGGCTTTGAGCTTATCACCCAAGGGGCTACACCAGATGAATTTGAGGAGGAAGGCAGAGGCACAAAAAGGCTGCAGTTCTTTGCCTGTGCAAGAGCCAGTTCTTGGAAAGATGACAGCAGGAGAAATTGCAGTGAAACAGCAGGATGAGAAGTCTGAGGAGAGATAAAATTTCAAAATGTTCAGCTCAAGACATTGTGGGCATGACTGACACTGATTTGCCTCAGGGACTTTTATAGTAAATATGTGGTAGTAAATACATACCAAGTATCTTAGCATTCTTCAGTGCCTGTGACCTTCACCCATTCCTCAGCTCATTTATTTGCTAAATCCACCAGCGGCTTCATTTGCTACAGGACACTTTCTGCCCTGAAAAGTAACACTGGCCCAAGAACATCAGCACAAATTAACCTTGTAAAAACGTAGGTTAGAAATACAAACGTTGCTTGCTGAAAGGGAAGAACTTCTCAGCCAGTGCTCAGCTGGGCAAGTTTTGGCCATGTCTGACCAGGATTATATTCATTGCCAGTACCAGTGGGGCTTCACTGCTGTCCCTGACACAATACTGCACATATTCAGTCTCCATAAGATTCCTCAAACTTCCTGTTCCTCTGCCTTGAGAGGTGTGGACAGTCTGTGTTGACACTGAGAGAACAAACCCATTCCAGCAGGCAACCACCAGAATCTGTCTTCTCTTGGATTTATGTATCTGAACTGATGAGAGGTTTAAGAAAAAGAAAACAAAAGGACTGAGTGAAAACTTAGATTGAGACCTCCCTCCAGAAAAATTAGGAGCAACTACATGGAATTTATTGCTATAAATCCCCACAGCTCTGCATATTTAAGGTGCTAATAATATTTCAGACAATCTTGCTATATGTATTTTAAAAGAGAGAAGTTACTCTGAAAAGGGATGTGTGAGAATGTTAATACGGTGTTAGAGATATTGTCCTGATCCTGCTTACTGTGCTGCTCACATACTGAATTTGGTGGGAGAGGCTGTTATTTCTAGAAAAAAAAAGGAGAAAATACTGACAGAGTAATTTCCCTGATTCTGAACATCTCTCACACCAATTAATTTTTTTCTCCAGTTACACAATTTTAGATTCTTGGGTCCATTCCTGTACCACGTCAATCACCTACAACAGCAATCGACTTCAACTTATTCCTTTTAGGCACAGCAAGATCTAAGTAACAATGCAAAGCTGCTGGTTTGAGCTCTTTATGCAACTATTTTATAAACTTATTCTTAGAGCAAGGATTTCATAGAACACACAGCACATTGCTTACCTTTTTTACCTTCTATTCATTGGATCTCTCCTGCCTCACAGTTGTTTTTTCTCTGGAAATCATTAAGGTTTGATTTCAGCAGGGATACGCATCTATTTTTGCAAAGCTCCCAAGTGAACACGACACGCTACCTTCCAGAGCATTTATTTTGATCCTGAAAATTGCAGGCCTCCAGTGATCATCAAACCCACTAGTTTACTACCTCATTACTACCTCAGCCTTGAATCGTTAGAAATGCTATAAAACTTACACACGTTGGAGAACAAACAAGGCAACTGGGAACAAAACAAGCATCTAAAATTACTCCAGTGGTCAGGAAACCATTTTCTTATACTTTATGTAATTATTTTAAAAGCTTAAACATCCTCTCTCTTAGTGTTTCTGCCTGCAGTTTTAAGGGCTTTTACACTTCACACGTTGCTTTAACAGACATGTTAAATTGGCTGACAGCGAACAGCATCACGTACTCTTCAGCTGTAGGAGATCATGATGGGCTAAAAAACTGGGGAAGAGATGAACTTTGTGCCTCACTGTGTTCTGGACTGCTATTACTGCCACTAACAACAATAACAAAAATGCATCTGAATATTTTAATTTTTCTGTTATTTTTAAGTCTATGTATTCTGGACAGATTGACTGAATTTAAAACCTGCTTTTCTTACAATGAAGAAGAAAATCCAGAGAACATTGCATTCAGTCCTGACATACATTGTATTTTCCAGATTTCAGCATAGTTGGCCCAGCACTGATACAATTTTCAGAGTTTAATATTGATACTGAAAACCAACATTCCCAAAAGTCAGGTAGCTGCCATTTAGGTATATTTGTGCACACACCTACACAGAGGCAGCTCAGGTGAACCACCACTGCACTGTTTTTGGAGGCAACCAACAGCTTGAACAACATTGCCCTGAAATGAAAGCAAACTAAGAGACTTCTTCAGTTTCTACCTTGTTCTTGAATAGGAAGGGGGAGGGGAGGAGTAAGGAAGAAGTTCCACAGGTCACTAAAGCAGGAGAAGGAGCAGCCTATCCCTGCTGATTCATCTGTGCTGCTCACAGGAGTAAGGATATGCAGGATACAGACCAGGCTTAGAGCAAACAAGATGCAAACCTCACAGAGTAACTAGTCTTCAGCTCCTGAATATTGAACGATTTACATTTTAATACAGGGGATGGGCCACAGTTCAAACCTTTATGGGACCTCCAGGCTGCAGTGCAGCACTGGAGCCCAGAAGTGTCCTGGGGCCCCAGGCTTCTCTGACCTGGAAAGATCCCCACCCTGGCAGCCAGAGTAGCAAGTCTCTGCTACTTCTGTGGCTTTCTCCACAGAATTTGTGCAATTACAAGAGAGAGGATGATTCCTTCCCTTTTAGCCCTCCATCACTAGATGAAAATGCAGCCTAGGGAGACGGAGGTCAGCTCAGGGCCTTTGCTGGGGCCCAAGGCAAGCTTTGGGTGTCATTTCCCAGGGCAACAGCATGGAAAGTGCTGAACCTAATCAGAGAGCTACTGTAATGCCCAATTACCACACAGGTATTATTTATTTAAGTACTAGAAACTTACTAATAGCTACATAAAAACAAATCTGCAGAAGGACAGTAGCAGTGTCTGATTCTTCTCTGTGTGTACAACTTGGGTTTTCAGATCACTTTACTATAAAAGTAAACTAACAAAAATAATCCATTCAACTGTTTATAAAAAAGCCACTCAAGGATCAACACCCAACTCTTTTTCTTACTACTCACAGCTTGATTCTCAAGTGCTTTACAGGAGAAAAGATCTACCAAGGACTTGTGTGAGTCACTAGCGATCCTTCACTGCAGTTTCAAGACCACTGACTAATTAAAAGTAAAGCTCATTGCACAATCTTGAATCACAGCAGCAAACAGCAGTATGGGACTGGTATGAAGAGGTTGTATCACCAAAGGCAAAAAGCAGCGATTTAACCCCTCAGCTAACAGTACTTGCTCCAGATATTCAGCCAGATTTATAAACTCACATTTGAAAGCAAATATAAATGTGAATATGCAATGTTTTTCTTCACGAATACTCACTTATCTTGCTTCCTTCAATCTAGTAAATAATTGAGAGAACAAATAAAATGAATGATTCAAGAGTCAATACAAATGAGATGAACTGTCACCATGGAAACTATTAATATACTTCATAATAAAGGTAGATCCTCTCATTTTCAATTTTGACAGAAGTTATTATTTAAACAAAAAATATTTTAAAATTTCTCCCCAGCATTTCACTAAAAAACTAACAGCAGCTCCGGGCCTGGCCTTTTTCTAAGCAGCAGTGTGTGCATGTAGCTTGAAAAGAAATTTAGCATTTAAATCAAAGTACCCTTACAGAACAGCTCTTGGACACTAAAGAGAACAGTGTCTAATGGATACAGCTCCCAAGTTTTCTTCTCCTTATTTTCTTTGCCCGAGGGCAGAGGCTGGGGCTGCAAACTGGCCTGTGTACTGTCACTAGCACCCTGGATGCCACGATTTGGAAGCCCTCACCTTAAGGCTCTTCTGCCACCAGCCTCCATTTCCTCAGTGTATTGGCAAGACCTCAGGAAGAAAATGAGTACGTGGCAATGGGAACAAGGGTGAAATATTCTGAGGTTCTGACAACCACTCTTTCATTCAGTATTCCACTCTCCTTCAGAAAACACCTCAGAACAGATATATGTGTTTTTAAATGAGTCATATTTTGCTGGGAATAAAAAGCACTAAGAAACAACTCAGATTCATAAATGAAAATGTATTTCACCTTTATACATGCTATACAGGTCATGCAAATACAGAAATCTACAGGTTATACAATGACACCATAATAAAATATAATATGACATTTGTCAAACACAATGTATTACAGCAAAACAAACTGTTTCTGTTTATTATTTAGGAAATAGATGAAGGACTAATTTGGAAGACACAGTACCATGCTACAGCTTACTGCACAGTCCAAAGAAAGTATTTCTTTGAAGAACACTAACATAAATAAAGCTGGGTTGTTGTAGGTATGATTTCTTTATGCATTGCACATAATACCACTGGTTACTTTCCCGTTGCTGACTTTAAAGAACACAAGAACAGTGCTACAACTGAGCTCAGTCTATACTGTGAACTCCCTTACATGTGGAAACAAACCCCAAAAACAAACAAACAAACAAACCCAACAAAAACAAATAAAAAAAAACACCACCCCCTCAAGTTTTCACTTCTTTTGTGTTAGTGTCCAAAGAGAGTTGTATTTAAAATTCATTCTTATAAGGAACAGAACAAAAATATCCTTAAAGCAGCACTTGATCTAGCATAAAGGTTCACCAACAGAAATAAAGTTAACATTGTATGGCACATGATGCCCAGACCTCGTACATCCTGATGTGAACTGTTCCATACAGAATGTTAAGGGCCCCTCAGTTCCCCCCACGTGTCTTGGCCTTTGTGTTTCTGCTGCAACATTCACATATTGTTTTGCTGCTCACTAAATCTCATTTTGTTGAGACTACAGAATACAAAATACTTCTCTGTGTGATCGAAAGCCTGGTGGTATCAATCAAGTGTCTGCATCTTCAAAAGTGAACATATTATCTCACCCTCCTGACCATCACTTGGATCTACTACAGCTATACTACATATATATTATGGGATTACACCAGGCATTCTGCCTACTTTGCTTACAGGTGTTACACAAACATGTTTTTAAACACACAGTTGATAGTTGCTCCCGGACTAATTAATATTAACCAGTAAGTGCCACTAGTGACTAAAAGTGTCAATGTAACCGTAATGGGATAGTTCCCACACTCCACAGTCAATAAGAAGGCTCTTTTGATTCCAGCAGCTGTATGTTTTTCAAGCCTCTTCAGTTATAGTTTTGAATTATACACCTCATAAAAGTTGCCAATAATTCCTTATTAGAGACAAAAAAGATAGGCACAAAACTAAAGTACAGTATATTATTTTGTTTCAATGCACTGTGGGCAAACCCCATCATTATTTACAAGAAAAAGATGTCTAAATGGGTGTATGATAAAGTTTAGGGAAGAATTATTTCAAAATAAAATGCACAGGTAAAAATCACAGTGAAGTGTTGAGATAAATTTTAAATTAAAAGAAAAAGTAAGTGCTTTATTAGCAGCTAAAGCTCAAATTCTAATGCACACTCCGTCTTCCCTGAAACCATCAAGGCTCTAGATCATTGGTTTTTACCAAAAGCAGCCAGTTACTCAAGATATTTATTTCCCTGGGAAGACAAGTTATATTCAGCTCTGATTATTTGGAATCCAGTGTTCAAGGACTGCAGAAAGCTTTTTCAAGTGACAAGCTCATATTTTACTGCCAGTAGCGTCACAGGGATATAAATCCTCCACGAATTGTTACCACTGTCAATTAGAGAGACAAGAATATCAAGTCAACCACACCAGTTAGATGACCTCAGTTTTGTAATTTAGAATATACTCTTTCAAGAAGACTGACTGTGGTACTGTACTTTGAAACTGTCACTGAAGCCTGCTGTGATTTTTTACTATGCTGGCTTTTTGGGATATGTGATTTCTACACCGTGCTGCAAGTATTTACAGCAGCTGGAAGGAGTAAGCAGCAACAATAACTACCACTTCCTAGGCTGACCCCACTTTTAACTGTTTTCTTCATGCAAACAGGCTCCAAAGATATACAGGAAAGGTATTGTATTAATGAAGAAAAAAACAACCCTCCTCATTATATTCCGAATGCATAAAGGAAATGTTCCCATTTACCAGGTACTTGTGGTTGCTACGATACAGTCAGTTTGCATATGATGCCAATTTGCAAATAGGAAAGATTATACTGAATTTAAAGATCTAGGAGACCAGCTTTCTTCCTCTCCCCACACTGCTGTGTACAGCTGTTGAATGTTTCTGAGAAGCTAGTAAGTAATCACAGCAATTTATTGTATCTAAGATGTTTATCACAATACTGTACCTGTATCTGTTCTGCTGAAAAGCGAGGCTGTCAACAGATAGAATTAAGTGTATTTTCCTGTCCTGGACTGTTAAATCCCTCAATCAAGTTTTTGTTACAGTCATCTAGGCTAATGGTATCACTGGACGTCTTGGAGTAGGTAGCTTGTCCTGTGAAATCCAAGAGGTCTTCAAGAGCCTTGGCATTACTTGTCCCATTTTGGTCCAAAGAAACACCCGGCATAAGTTCATTCATGGGTGAATATTCGGGAATAGAGATGAGTTCTTCTTTTGAAACAGGGCTATACAAAAGATAAATGAAAGGAGGATACAGAGTAAGACGTGGGTAACTTTTCATTAAGTAACAATCAAATTAAACTTCTGACAGTTCAAAAACTTATTTTAAAGGCCAGCTGCAGCAAGACTCTACCTAGAATACATCCTAATCCAAAGAAAAAGACATTGCCCTGTTCAGGATGGAAGGTCATACCTAATCTATATCCCTTAAGGATTAAGGTTTGTGGTAGTTGTGTGATGTGAGCACTCATCTCCTAAACCCACATTTCTGACCGTATACCAGTCACTCACTGTTTCAATCCCTGCACCATTCCCTTACCTAAATGTTTATTACACCTTTCAAGTTACTGTCCTGACCCTGCAACATTTGCTTAAAGCACTCATATTTCACAACTTAAATAAAAAGTTATTTCTTAAGACGTTATGATACACATCAGACATAGAAATCCCATAATTAAATTTAAGAAATGCTGTAACCAGCTGCTTTGCTGAGACTAGTAAGGCTAGTGCATTTTAGTTTGGAGAAGAGAAGGATTTCACAAAGATTTCTAAAACCACAACAAGGTGGGGGACGAGTTGAGGGCAAAACTATCATGGCATGAAATGCTGCAACACAAACCCTCAGGGGTGCCCAATGCCACCAATAAGAAACTGAACAAAGAACATAATTTACAGATCAAAGAACATAATTTACCCAGTGAGACTGTACTGCAGCACTTGTTCCAGGTCAGGTCCTGGACACAAACATTATCAGCAGGTCAAAAAAACCCAACTTGGACGAACTCATGGGCAACATGTCAACCAGTGGCTATTTAGAAGGCCAAGGCAGAGCTGCCCCCTCTAATATCCCTAATGCCACACTTCAGTGTGGGCTTGGATTGCACAGAATGGGCTACATGGACTTCTGGTCTGTCCCAGTAGGGCATTTTCTATGTATTTATGCATATTTACTGGAAATACTGAAACAGTATGAGAGGTTCAGCTGTCTTACTGATTAAGGAAGAACTGTATAAAAATTCTACATTTCAAATTGTCTTAACACCCTTAAATTAACATCCTATATATAAAAATATGTAAATAATAAAACTTAAAATTAAAAAATCGTTCTTTTCTGCATGTCCTTCTGAAAACCCAAGAGTATTTAAAAACACAACATTATTTACTGATTTCCATACACTTCTACTTGTTAAGTACTTAAAATGCTCAATGTATTATTTTCTTTACTCTGTTTGTATAGAGGCAGAGAAGCTCATGCATCAGAGCACACCACAGCAGACACCTGACTGCCATGCTGGGGTAGGTGAGTAGAAAAGCACTAAAGTATTAACAAGTGAAACAGAAAATTTTGTCTCATATGAATTCCACAATCCCTCTTGGTAGATATGGTCTGTACCTCACATCCATGGACTGAACCTCATCTGTTGAATCTTCCATGCTGTTTGATTTCCCATCAACAGCTTCCAGCTGAATAAGTCCTGGAACTGACTTCAGTCCATTAGCAACTACATCTTGGGAAGGGATTATAGAAGCAGCACTTTCTAAGCTTTTACTTTTCAGGCAGGTTGCCAATCCATTGATCTCTATAAAAGAAGGTTAGAAATTATTACAGCAGGAGCTCCTTTAAATAGTTTGAGGTTACTGACTGAGTAGAAAGGAAGACTGACAGTGCAGTAGGACTTAATTTAAATTCATGACTCATCATACTATACTGTCGTTCCTCTTTCCACTCCAAAACTACTCTTTATGCTGCATCTTTTAAATTTGAGGAAACAGGAAGAGACTATCTTTTATGTCATGTACTAAAAGTCTTAGCCTGGGGAAGTAAATAAAACATAGATAAATGTCAGACATATATTTATTTAATAATACTTTAAATACATATTTTTTTATAAAGTCAAATTAAATGTAAGATTTAGAGACACACTATAAAAAGCTTGCAGGCTTGGTTGTGTGCAAAAATTTTCTACCTAAAAAATTTGAAGGTAGATTGCAGCAATCAAATTGACACATTAGAACTTTTCATTTACAAAAATGCTACCTCAGGTACTAAAATGGAAGAGAAACTTTCTTCTGCTTAAGTGGCAAAATTTCTAACATTTGTCACTGATGCAAATGTAGCTGTTCTTTTTGAGATGAAAGCAAAGAATTTATGAAAATACACAATGTTCTGCCTCAGATCACAAAACTCTGAAGAGAACCAATTGTGCAAATAGGTCAGAAAAATACAGCAATTTTTACCTGGCTGGTTGAGAACAAGTGCCTTTGGTTGCTTTTCCACATTCAAAGTTGATGGTATCTCCAGTTTGGGCTCTTCCTTCTGAAATCAAGTAATGACTCAAGTCTATTAGAGGAAGGGCTGTAACCTTCATGGAACTGACTGGACTCAAAATGTGTGAGACTGCCCAGGGCCACAGGGCAGTCAAAGCAAGGCCATCAACAGCAAGACAGGATTTTCTCCCCCACCACCACCCTTTTAATAAGACATAGCAAATTTTTTAAAAATTCAAAAAGGAAACATTCTTTGAAAGTAACTGAAGAAACAGTTTCCTTAGTAGATTAGAAGTGAAAACCTGACTGTCACTTCTTAGCTGGACTCAACTGCCTTGTTTTCAATCCGACATTCCTGACAGGCTTAACAAGGAGAGCTCAGTAACTAATTCACTGGCTGGTCCAAAGCAGGAAAAGACACATCAACAGCAGCAAACATTACAGCCCCAGCATCCAGAAACAGGCTGTGGCTACTTGCCTGGACAGTAAGGGGGGTTAACCTGCAACACTTGCACAAAGCTGTCTCTGCAGCAGTGGCACAGCAATGGCTGTGACAAACCAAGAGTCATTTTCAGTTCAAAATACAACTAAAATTTGGGTCTAGAGTGTACCCAAGTAACTTAATGACATGGAACTACTCTAGAATTCAATTTCTACATATGGCAAAAAACCAAACCAAACCAAATCATGCAATCACATATGGTTTCATACCTTTATTTCTGGTGTTTCGCTCTTCCTTGTTCTCTTCATTATTTCATCTATTCTCTACAAATAAAAATAAATTTGAGGATGAGACAGCAGACAGAATATTTAATACAAAAGACAGAGAGAAGAAGAAAAATACAAAAAACCACTTCTCTTTACTGTCACGGCCTCATCCCTGCCTGTCTTGGAAAATGGAGAACAAATAAGAAAAATAAAGAAAACAAAAGGTAGAAAACAACTTGGAGCTGACTTTCACCTATCAGATCTCACAGAACATGACCTTCTCAGTAGAGGCACTTTAGAAAAGGCATTTTAATACCAAGGGTTTGCAGTTATGAGTTGTGCTCATTTCTGGAACAAGACATTAGTTTAAAGCCAATAGCAATTATTTTAATTTAGTTCTTCTTCTAACTATTTCCAAACAGTTCCTTTAAAAATAGTTAGCCTTTCTGGAGTAGAAGAATAGAATGAAGTATCTGAAGTTATTCTTGCTGTAAAGGTGTAAGGCATTATTCTAAAATACTTTTGTTTTCCTTCTTTGTTCATTAAAAAAAGAACCTATTTCAGCTGTAAGACACTTTGGTTTGTATTATAATCTGCAACTGAAACATGCTGCCAGTGCAGTCGTAAACAGTTAAAAATGTATTGGAACAAAATATATGGATAGATGACCTTTTGTAACCAGACAGAGGTTCTGCAGCTGTTCTCCCTTTCCTGCCACAGAGTTGTAGACAAAGCTAATTTATGCAGCTCCAGCCATTTCCCTGTGCATCACTGGCCACAGTCCTGCTGCCTCTGCACAATGTAACCAGAGACAGCCAGGTGGGAGAAAAGTTGTTTGTTAATCACATAAACTTTCTCCATTAATGACACAGAACTTCTGTTGAGAAAGTTTTAAACCAAGTCAGTAGCCTGTGATGTCCTGGGTTGGGTAGCAATTGACATTTGTCTTGACATGCCATTCCCTGTTTGTCTCAGGCATTTGTTTAACTTTTCAGGTAGATGCTGATTCTGTGTTTGCTCATTACCTAGTAGGGAGTCATTTGTCTTAGGCAATTCCACTTTGTTACAAATTTTGATGTCCACGTTCCCCTAACATGTCAGTAGCAAATACTAAGTTTGACATAACTAGTCATCTGTAATCCCTCCAGATTACTGTTAGTAGATACTATTGGGTACTTCCTGGATTATGCATTTAAAGAAGAAATGAAATAATTATCTGGAGATGCAAATATCTACCTTCTTCCGTTCCAGTCTTTCTTGCTCAATTTGCTGCATGATTTGTTCCCTTTCAAGACGAAGTTGTTCAGCTGCCTCACGGGCTTTGATTTCTGCTTCTTCCCTCTAATCAAAATGTGTAAAATATGTCAGGGCCATTATTTATTTCAGGCAGATTACCAAATACTATGAAGTATTTATTTATATGTATATAAAGTTTCACATTTTTCCTTGAGATGGTACCTGTTTCTCAAGCTTGGCCTGGAGCTCTTTTTCTTGCTTTTCCTTTAGCATTTGTTCTTCCTCAGCTCTTCTCCTGGCTTCCTCTTCTGCCTTTTTTCTGGCTGCTTCTTCTTCACGTTTTCTTTCCTCCTCCTTCTTACGAGCTTCTTCTTCCAGACGAAGCCTTTCTTCTTCTGCCTTTCTTTTCTGTTCCTCTCTTTCAAGCCTGCAAAAAATATAACAGTATGTTTAAAAGGCTTCACCTTGTTTAGCATTAAACACACATTTTCATGAAAGATGCCAAGATACAGCAAAGAGGTTGAACACATGCTCAGGATTCAGGCTGCTATCAAACTTTTACTCCAATCTTATTTTCAATGCCTAAAATAATTCAAAGAAATTAAAATTTCCATGTAGAGCGTCAATAATAAAATTAAATTTCAAGAATAAAAACATCCCTCTTTCCCTGTACTTGATACCCAGAATGCTGGTATCTGTAAGCCAGCAGGTTCTTTTATCCTTTGTTTCAGCTGAAGATAAACAAACTGGATGAGTAGCAGCAGAAGTCCACAAAACACAGTGGAACACTAGAAAGAGTGGGTCTAAACTCCACCTGTGTTGTTCCCTGGCCCACTGAGGGACATCATGCTCCTCTGTCACCACAGGCAAGAGCTGCTTTGCAAGTGATCATTCTTATCATTCTATGAGGGATTCACAGCCAAAGTGGCAGGAGCTGGTGATTCCACTCCCATCCACCCCCCTGCCATGTTTTTAATAATTAAAAAACAAAGTTGAATCTAGACATGCAGAGTTAGTGATTTACTATTACGGGTTTGAAGGAAGGCTTTGACACTTGCAACCAGCATCCCATGGGGAGAACAACCTAAAAGCTTGCTCAGAGAATAAGCCAGAACCAGAATTTTGCTGCTTAGACACAGCAACCTTCATTATGCCCACTCTCCTAAAGCCCTCAGTGCCTACAGTAGAGTTGGCAGGAAGATGAACTTCAGGTTCATCTGTTGCACAATACCAGCCTTGCCATTTAATGCATATACTACTACTGCAAGACTTCTTCTACGTGATCTACTCATTTAAAGCTGCCTCCAATATTTTTTTACAATGTAAAATACTTCAGGTATGTCCAGACTGCAGTGTGTAGTACACTGCAGTGTGGACATACCTGAAGTACTTGGATAAGTAATAGTTTTTTTCAAGTTTCTAAAAGAGGCCAAATCGTTATTTTCTAAACTTCACTGGTTATAGAGACTGCAAAAGACATTAATGAAAAAAGTCTGAGATTAAAGAAATTAACAGTTACATGCAAGCTCCCACTCGACTCTAAAACTACCACAGATTCAAGTATTTTCAATGATACAGGTTTAATTATTAGGTAATAACTTTCACAAAGCAATAGACACACCTTTCCCGTTCTTCTCTTTCCTGCCTCTCCTTTTCTTCTTGTTCTTTCTGCAGGCGGGCCTGTCGTCTTTTCTCAGCTAAAATTTTTGAAGCTTCTTCTGCATCACTTGTTCCTGCCGTGATCTTCCCTAACAGAAGAGGACCAAGGGTGGAAAGTTTAGCAGGGAACAAAGAGAGTGAGTGCTCAGCATCTTCAAACTTGTGCAGAGGCTGAAATGGGCCTGGTTCACACCTTTTTAGAGCACCCCTCAGCACTTTCAATAGATAGAATATGGAATAGGTAAGGGTATCCCTGAATTTCAGCATTTTCACATCCCCGTTAACAAGTGGTTTTGGTACATTAGTGAAAACTATACATTTACAGGTTCCAGATTATTTACAGATGATGAGGATCTTCACACATCCTCATAAGCCTATGACAGAGCAGCTTCGTGCAAATGAACAGCTCATCACTGTTTAAAAGTCTCAGGGACCCAAGACATCTTGCAATATATTCTTGCAGTAAGACTCACCTTCACTATTCTCAGTCTTCCCAGCAGAAGGCACGTGCTTCTCAGGAGCCACCTGGCCTGCCTCGTCAGGGCGCGCTCCTGGGGACTTCTGATGGCCGGCATTTTCTTTCTCCTTGTCTGCTTTCTTTTTAGGAGTTTCCTGGTTGAGATTAGAAGTGGCACGATGCTTCACAGGAGAAGCTGGATATTGTTTGGTGTTTTTAGGAGACTGTGGGTAAGTCTTTGCAACTGTCCTGATGAGGGAAAACAAAAATCAAAAGAAAGAAGAAGCCATGTGTTACACACCTTGGAACTGAACTCCCGCTTCCCATACGTCATTGTTCTCTTGTGTTTCTGGCTACATAGGAGTACCAGCTGTTTTGCACAATACTGGATAGAATCACCTGGATGCAAGCAATCAGAACTTGAAATGCAGGGAACTGGCATGCAAGTGCACATGATCACAGAAAATTCTCCTTTAAACAGACCAGTAACACTGTCTGAGGTCCAGGGAGAGATAGGAAATCAGGGACCATCTAACTGATGATTTTAGTAATGACCATTTCATAACAATTCTGTCAACATTACTGCATTCTACAGTCCTTCTCAACATTTAAAACAAAACTATGTCTGCTTTCTGTCTGTAGAAATTATGAGTACAGTGTGCTGCTTTCATCTAAATACCACCTTGCCAAACATGGTCTTTTTCTAACAGTATTGGATTTTCAAAACCAGCAAGAAATATACTATAAACAAAGGTAAAGCTGAGTACCACAGAAAGAGACAGGACTGACCAAACCATTGTACCATCAGCTTTCCTGTTTCAGTTAGTGCTTTAATCAGCACCAATGGAACAGACTCAAGACTCAAAACTCAGCCCTTGGAATTCACCCAGCTGCACCTATGGAGATGGGGATGCAGCCCACTGACTGTTTGGCTGTTGGACACTTCAGGTGAAGTGATAACCTCACTTCTGAAGGCAGTTTGGGGAAAGTGGAAGGGCAAAGATATCTGATATTCAGTGCAAATAGGTGCACATAAAGAGAACAGATTACCAGGAAACATAAAACTACCACAAACACCATTCATTATTTATGTAATGCCAGTAACTAACAGTTACTTATAATGTTAAGAGAGGCTGGGCTATGTGACTAAATACTATGAGAATAAAGAGATTACAATCTTAAAATAACGATTTATGTGAGTCCCATTAGAATAAATAATCCTACATTACACTGAACATTACACATATATTTTTAACCTTCTTTATGGAAATGCGATTATGACATAAATGTATTACCCTTTATCACTTTTTTAATCTACACAATATAGAGTTTCATATACTATAACATGTTTTCTGGACTATACACTCACTCTGGCAGACCACAAATATGAAAAGCATGGACAATGGCTGAAAATTAATGGACTGGAGTGGCAAGTTTTATGTAGTAACTATAGTATTGTGTGGTCAGAGACTATTATAACTGGAACAGCATTTGCATTACAGAGAAGACAATAAAAATTAGAAGTCTTTCAACTCCCCCCCGAATTTATGAATTCAGTAGAAGAAAGGGTTCTTTTCCACCATATTATGCTGCATTTGTAAGACGTTGAGACAATGGAATACAGAGAGCTCATTCAGAGCTGCCTGGTTTGTGGGGAGGAAGACACTGCAGAGCATTGCACCATCTGTACTTCCCTACTCCCACAGAAGAGCCATCACAGACTCCAAAAGCCCTCGGGCTGCAGGAACAGTAGCACCCAACTAAATTTGAAGTTCAGCTCAGGTACCCTCTGCCTGCAGGCCCAGGAGCTCCCTTGTCAGCTCAGGTCCTTGCCTGAGTTAAGCTGTAGCTAAGCCTGTTCTTCTTGGCTTCCTAACCTGCTGATCCTGACACGATGTCCTGGCTTGTCCTTGGACTCGCCTCAGAGTAAGGCCTTGGTTGGCTATCCCTGGACTCTTGGCTGACCCTGGTCACTGTCACCATCACCAGACCTACCCTGGGCACTTTTTGTCTGCTATGAGATGGGGTCCTGTGGGTGAGGTCCCTGTTCTTGTCTGCCCTACTGCCACCCACTACTGCTGCTGCATGACAGAAACAGGCTTTGGGAGATGAGAACAGGCAAGTCTGTTTCCAGGTCTTGAAAAAAACAGCAATGGGAGAAGCCAGTGAGATTGGTTGGTGTTAACCAAGTCTGGTTTTAGCATTGTCTTTAGATTCCTTTTTAGGATATAGATGGATTTCCAAGCCCTTCTGAAGGGAAAAGCAGAGAATTTGAGTCCCCACCTACAGGTGTACATCTCACACGTGCCTCATCATGACAGTCATTTCCAATTGCATTTCATAAAAATAGAACTGGTAAATACAAAGTAAACAACATTTTTTCTTATGTTTTCCTGCAGCACAGAGGATGCTTCTTGCTAATTAGACACTTCTTCAAAGCACAATCCCTTCTTGCTGTCTTTGGTTTACGTTTCCAACCTTACCACACGTTCCTTGCAATGCATTTTATTGAACCTGTTGTGACAGCAGGAGCAAAACAGGCTAATAACTAAGGCTGAGTCATTTTCAGTGTCAGCACAGAAGTAATTGTTCTCTAATAAAGACATGACAATCAAATTAAAGAGGTTGGTAGGAAGGAGTCTAGTCATGAGAGCTACATATCTTGCACTGCATAGGCATTAGAGCAGACTGGCTGTACAACTTACCCGTTGGACTAGAAACATGTTGAATGTACTATTTAAGTAATACATCTTTGAACTTTTAGACCGACAGTAATTTTTTGTTACAGTTTTTGGGCCGGAATAACAAGTATGGCTTTGCTTCCTTTAAAGCAAACAAAAGCAAGAAGCTTAATAAAAGACCGGTTACTGCAGTGCGAGGAGTGAAAAGATGAGAAAGAATTTTTATATAATCTACTGGATGCCAGTAGAAAGTAGTAAATCAACATTGTTTTCTCCCTTGTATTCAAAACATATAGCCAACTTAGCACCTTTAACATTCTTAGACACAGGCAAAATTGTTACTGGAAAAAACACTCCTTCTAAATAGTATTTAAATTATGCTGCTTTACACCAGAAAGGTCCAAACTTGATTGTGAAGACAGAAAAATGGGATTATTAAGATAAAAAAAGTACAAAAACTTGTATAAGAGTCTGCTTAGGTTTAAAGAATGTTTTGGTTTTGACATGAGAGAAAAGGAAAAGGATATAATGGAACCATGTTAAGAGAGTGGGATCACAGAATTGTGCCTGATGAGGATCAGGGAATTAAGATAACAAATCTCTAAAAGCCAAGAAGTGGCAGCATGTTATCTGTCTGACAGTTCACTCATCTCAGTAACTACATTTTACAGGGGAATACAGAAGTACCAGAAGCATCTTCCTCCCTCCAAGAAGATATTAGTTTTCTCACCTAACTGCCCCGTGTTGGCATGGGGGCAGCAGCATGTAAGAAGCAGATCCCTACAGGCACTGCTAGAACCTCTATCAGGTGTGAGGATCCACTGATCCTTAAATTACAGTGGCTCTTATTTAACTATGAAAGGGATAGCCCATACTGCAGAAGAATGTCTCAGGAGGAGCAAAAGAAGGGTTCTATGCTTCCTTTTGCTAAGTAGAGAAAATAAAGTACATGTGGCACATGAATCAGAGGTCACATCCAATTCTGGCCATAAACAGCAAGGGAGAGAACAGCAAGCTTTCTTGAAAAGCCAGGTATGTGACAGGTCACTGGTTATGGCAGTTCAGAAAGCTGACTGTGAATCACAAATCTGCAGCATATTTTTTCCCCTATATCCCTATTAATTCAACAAAAGCTCTGCTGAAACCACACTGAGGACTTGCATGTTCTCCTGCCTGCTTTCTGACACCGCTCTGATCACAAGCTATTCCTGGCTTCTGACATTTTTCCTCTGCTATCTATGGTATTTTCTCAAAAGCAGTTTTCTCTCACTCTCACTTTTGATCTCTTCTAACAGGAGACAGATTTCTCTTTTACATTTCTTAAAAGAGTAGAAACTCAGCATAGGCCTGTAGAATAGGTATTTTGATCACTGTGTTATTATAGATGTTTCAAAATCTTGAATTGGCTCATTATCCAGCCAACTGCTGAAAAAACCCTCAAAATAGTCTTGAGCCAGCATTCTACCTATTGTTTTTATCTTTCTAAGTCAAAACAAAGATCAAGAGTAGCGTATGTAGCACATATGAAATAAAATCTAAAATAGGTCACAGCAGGACATAGAAGCTACTTCTGTGGGGAATTCACCATATGCAGACACCTTTCCAATAACTCATTTTTAGAAACTTCTACAAGTCTGGGCTTTTTTTTGGTCCCACTCTACGTTCATATTCCAACAGCATTCTGTAATTTGATTGAACATGCGCTTTTCTGACACCAAGAGCTTGTCCTAGTGACTGCAGTGGGTTGATCCCAAAGGAATCACCAAGTCAGGTGTTCAGTTACTGAAATCATGAGCAAAGAACAATGACACAAGTCTGGGATCTGGAAATGAAATACGAACCACCGCCCACCAGCAGTGCTGAAGTCACTTTTCCCTTCCCCCTTGCCTCTTCCTCCTTCTCATAGGAGGCAACGCTTTGGCAAAAGAATGGGACCCAGAGCCTTGTCAGAGCTTTCCATTTTTGCTCACTGGCTTGTACTCCGGTTCATCTGAAGACACTTAAAGCTAAATCACTAAATCACACTTCCCTGATTCAGTCAGGTGCCATTGATTTCCAAGGGACTATTTACCCAAAGACATGTGAAGGACACAGGCTTTATTGCCTTCCTGATCTATAAGGGAGGACACTTACCTATTCTCTGAGGGATACTGCAAGAATAAACCCATTAATGTATAGATCTTTGAAGATGAAGCATTAAAAAAAAAATTACCCAACCCCCTGGTACTATTGATCTTGTGGAAGATCTGAAGAAAAGGAGCACTTTACATAATCAGTATCCAAGAGCAATTGATAAAATTAGAGATAATGTCTCAATTATTCAAATTCTAATCCATTAACTTTCATCTTTGTCAACTGATCCACGTTAGATTCAAAATAATAGTTTTGGATTTCTTTCTTGTGTGACATTTCATGATATATTTACTTTTCCACATACCTTCAAGCTTTGAATTCTTTCCCAGCTTTTAATTTTTGCTCAGCATATTTTTATTTTTTCCCCTTTTCTCCTTTTTACGCCCATGTCTGTTCACTCATTTTGTCTTGGACATTGTGGTTTTGGACTGTCCCTTTTTGCTTTCTCACTAAAATTTGCACATTCAAACATTAGTATTTTATTTATGTAATTACTGCAATGCTGTTCTGCCATCAATCACTCTGTCTCTTTAGGCTGAAGTTTTATTGTCTTGTTTGATCCTGTTTCAATGATTTTACCATGATAAAAAGAGCTTTTTAATTAATAAATAATGAAGTAACATATAAAGAAGACAAGCAATTGTCACTCAGAAACCAAGATGACAACTGTGAAGAACTAGAAACTAGAACAATACCAAGAAAACTTGAATTTCAAGTCATATACTTTTAAGAAGAGAAATGCATAGAGCTAATTGTCATCTAAATCACTGGCCATACTTGATCCTGTCCTCAACAGCTTTGAAGTTAAGGTGCTGTGCAGGATCAGTAACTACTAATGCTGTACAATATGTACTCTTATGTCTTCCAGAGTAATTTTTTTTTGGCCACATGGTGTGCTGGAAGAGGAAACATTAAACTTACAAAAGATCATTAGGTTTGCAAGGAGAAAGAGTATTTGTATACATATTTAGTCAGATTAAAAGTATATTTATATGGCAGATAATGATCTTGCTGGTCAGTGGATTTAAATATAGGCAGCAAGGCTTTTGGAACCTTCCTTTAGATTCATTGACAATTAACTGTGGAACTTGAGTTGTATTAAAAAATGCAGTTGTATTTAAAAATTATTATTATTAATAATAATATTGATATTTATATAATAATATAATGTGGTGATCAGGACACCTTTTTTATTTTAAAATTATGAGGGGAAGTTTTGTAAGTGCTGAAGTAGAACTGTCTTTCTGGAACCAGTAATACAGATGCATTTAACCTCTATTTACTGTATCTCCCTAAGATCAAGGAGGGTGTTTTAATTGGGCCACATTAAGATTAAATGCTCAGTAATACATTTCTAGCTGTGGTCAGAATCAGATTCTCTTGAGAAAGAGAAGGAGGGGGAAAAAAAAAGGATCACTATTGTGGCTCACAATCACAGAGAAACTCATCAGTAGGCTTCTTAATTCCTCCATGCAGCATCTGTTTCTTCCTCTAAAAATAGTATTCCTTAAATTCCTATATTCCTTATAGGAGTGAAAACGTTTTACTATAAATAATCTGCGCCTTTGGGAAAAAAATTCTCCATCTTTGCCAGACCATTTAAGGAAATTAATGTTACCAATTAAGACTGGGCATACTTTTTTCATGAAGCCCTAAGCATCTCTTTCACAAAAGCTTTTTCTTTTTACCCCTACATCTCTCTATGATGGTTTACACTGACCTTTTGGACATCTGCCCATCAAGGAGCACTTGACTCTCAGCTACCCATTTCCCACCAATCATTTGTTTAAGTACATGTGTCTCTTGGTATGTCTCATACTGGCTGAACGAACTGAGAGATGCTTTCTGAACAGGGAGTATCAGTACTTGTGGAATAATACACAAACTTTTTTCTGTACATTGCAGAGGGCCACTAGACAATTATCTGCTCAAAATTGTAAAAAACCTTGAATGGCATGAACATTTCATATCATTCCATTTTTCACAGAATGTATGTAGTTCAGAATCTGACAATGTTATGATATTGAAAGTTTGGGAATTTGTAGCCTTATAATATGAACCAAGAATTGCAGTGTCCCAGTTATATGCAAGGGGATGTCTAAACCAGAAAGAATGCCCAGAGTCAGATGGTTTCCTGTATGTTGTTTAGCACCACATTCACACACAAATTCATTCTCCTCTACCCTCAGAGCTGAGTCAGAAAAGGAACACCACCTAGTGTTCGAGGCAGAAGAAATTTGTCAGAAAGGGGATCATCAATATTGATCCAAAATACAGCCTGCTGCAGATTAAAAAATTATAAACAAATTAAATAAGACAAAAAGATACAATTTTCAAGACAGAAGTGGGACCCATGAACAGGGTCTAAGGGGAAAAAAACAAGCCAATCAACCAGCCAAAAAAATTAGATAACTACTGTAGACCATGACTACTTTAGCACACTTCTACATTTGAATCAGATATTCTGTTCCAAGAAACCTGAAGACCCATTTGCTCAGACCTGAGTTGCAAGCTGTGGTACACAGACTAGAGTTTTCAGCAAAAGATAATTAAGAAAAGCGACTCAATTGCCAATAAGCCCAGATGTGCTACAGGTCCACAGCTGCATTAAAAAATAAAATAGAACAAAAAGCAACAAAATCACAGAGGTCTGCAAATGAGCAAAGGTTAAAACCAATGGCTTAGATGGCACGTAGTTAAGTATATTTATGGCACCAGATGGTCATGCCAACAATAGGAAATGCATATATTAAATGCTGGAATTTCTAGTTAGTATTCATGTTGTGTGCATTTCTTCACATTAGGCAGTTTCTTCAAAATCAAATAAACCAAAAGCATACTTAAAAATAAATGTTAAATAAAATTTCACATGAATTATGAAATGCACTAGAATCTCAAATGACTGAGAAAAGGTAGAGAATTGTCTGTAGAGCACACTAACACAATCTTACGTATATTAGATTTGTTCATCTCCATCTCTCTCTCTCTTTCCATTTGCATATGTGTGTATGTATAAAATTAACTAGATTCTGTACAACACTTCAAAGGAAGTTCCTCAAGAATCTGTGTCTTATTTATAGGTAACAAGAAGTTCACTGCATATTAATCCACTAATAAGAAAGGCATACTTAGGTGTTGCAGGTGATGCAGATCTTCTGGACATGGCAGCAGGAGAATCAGACCTTCTCAGAGGAGATCCCATACCAGATGAGGAACCAGGTGTTGTGGGTCGCTTCTCTTTCTTTATCTTCTCAGTCTAGAAGCACAGTTCATCTTAGTTTCCATAATTAGCATCAACAAATCAAAAATTTATTTGATTGTTTTATTAACAAGATGTCATATAAAGTGATTTCTGTAACATACACTTGAAAGGTTTTTAAGCAGCAGCTCGCAACTGAGGTGCTATTAATAGTTTTTTGTTTTACACAGACATAACACACACCCACCCCAGGGATGGTGGCACTGGGTGGAGTCTTCAAAATCACCTGTATGCCCCTGCAACACCTCCTGGATATGATCAGTAGTGCAACCAGGCATCTCACAGAAACGCTGCTGCAGGTAACACTGAATCACACCTAAGACTGACACTACACAAATCTTTACTCCCACAGCTTTGGTCCTCTCATTTGCAGCTAATTTAGATGGCATGAATTCCTGTATTATTAACTATTACAAGACACAAGACCTTATGTGAATTTTACAGTCCTCACATAGACTTTTTTAAAACATGTCTTAATCTGTGTAGACTCAGCGAAGAAAGAGTTAAGCAAGTGGTGTAAAACAGGCACTGTCAATACACTTGAGTTTCCGAAATATGTGAAGCTTGCTCATTAACCAGAAAGACTGGACACTCAGGGGGGAGATCCTATTCGTCATCCCCATTCCCAGAAGTTACAAGCAAGTCCAGAAACATACACTTCAGTGCCTCAGTTCCCTGAAAATAAAGGTGTTGCTGTTTCAAATAGCAGCACTCAACACTGATTCCCTGGAGGAGGAAGATATAAAAATGCTGCTTAAGTGGAGCACGAAAGCAACAGACATTGGCGAGGCTGTTTTTTACAGCAGGGCTAGCACTTTATTTGTATTCATGTAAAGGGAAAGGCAACAAGCAGAAGCAGCATCAGTTTACCCAGCAGTGAAACCAAAACCATTGCAAACCCACCTGAGTAACTTCGGCTGCAGGCGCCCCTTTCATGGCACTGGAGGTGGAGGGTGAAGTCGCCTTCTTCCTGTCCGTGCTCCGAGTGGGAGAAGCCTTGTAGGGAGACTTAAGAGGACTAGCTGGTGCTACACGAGGACAGATATGGAATACTAAAGAGTTATAGTACAATAGCAAGAGCAAAAGGGAGCACAGACAGAGGAAGTAAAGGAGAGGAGAAAACAGCATACTTTTATGTTATAATGTTCAAAGGCAGTTTTGAAGGTTTTTTTAATAAGTGTTTCAACAGATTACATTATGTAACATGTTCAACATGGTCCCATGTTTATTAAAAATGTGTCAACTGAAGGTAACATTTTACAGGATTTTTAAAAATAATCTATAAAATATTACTCTCTTACTCACATACTTTTCTAATTACCTATGTGATTATTTTTTCCTCTGAAAAATTCAACTTCCTTTGAATATGACAAAAAGAGTAATCAGATAATTCTAGCTGGGTGACTTTTGAAAAATACCGCAAAACATGAAACGTGACAGGAGCATAGGGAGTGTTTGGGTTTTTTTTTAAAGCGTAAACACGGCAATGGCTCCTAAATACCTTATTTACTTTTCAAAATAATACTTAATTTACAAAAATTAACCAAAAACCCCCAAACCTAAACTAAATGCTGCTGTAGGTATTTCAGTTATTGTTATTTGTGGGACACATCAATTTGAGTGTGACACACGCATTACAACTTACAGGGCAACTCTTTTTTTATTTGCAATATGAACAGGATTTTTTTTAAATGGTATATTTTGCTGCTGGTTTTGTTCATATTGCCTTCTAAAATGAAACCTTCACATACACATAGAACAATCAACAGAATATATCTTTAATTAATAAGACAGACATTAATTGCAACCAAGTGATAGTGTGTTTCCAATCATAGTCAACTAAAGTCAAGAAGATATGACTTAGGAAAAGCAGTAATTATGTGCTAATGTAAAGAAACTCACATTTCCAATCTTTTTTTTTTTTAATTGGAGGCAGTCTAATAAAATTTCTTATGAAGCCTTTTTTGTATGCTTTAAGGTTTAACTAGACCTTTGTATTCTTTGACACACTTTCCAGCAAGCTGGCATAAGGTCACTGAATATTAGGAAAAGTGTTCAGAAACTTAATGCCTGCTTTAGATAAGTATTTTCACTTCAACTGTTAAAAGAATTAATTATGTGTCCAGTAACAACTGTTTGCCTGAATATCTTAATTTGGAGTGACATTAATAATGTATTGCCCGTGAGTCTTAAATTGAGGCTCCTCATTTCTAAGCATAAAGAAAATGCAGGAGCAGAAAAATTTTGACCTCAGTATAATGAGCTCTTGGAAAGGAAGAAGCCTCTCCCCTGCTCAGAAACCTACTTCTATGGTGAGAAGTACTCGACATATGGGAGATCTCACTCAACACTTTTGCTGGCAATTACTGACAAAACCATCAGCTACGGCCCCATCGCCTTGCGAGGAAATAACAAGAGGATGCTGGTTCAGAAAGCTGTTCCCAAAATCAGCTCTTCTGTCTCAGCTGAGTGAGAAAGTAGTTTGCAGGCCAAATGGTATCCTTGTCAGACATGTCAGCATGCTACTTTAAAGGTCCTGTGATGGAGAGCAAGATAAACCTGGGAGTTTACAAACAAAACGAGTGGGGAAGGAAAAAAGTCATCCCTATTGATTTCTTTGAAATCAAATACAACATGGAAAACATCATCTGTAGGTGACCCTAGCAATTCACCTCAAAATCTTAAGCAGAATATACTGATCTAATTGTGACTTGGTTTTTGCTCCCTCTTCGCAGTAGCTGATCTCTGAGCAGTAAGCAAACTGGGAGTTTTCTCATGGGCCAAGTACTGCATGACAACATCTTTGCTTCCAGTAGAGACTGCTTTTAATGTAGAAACAAAGAGAAGCAATTTTAGAGCCATTCAATATCAATGTCCTTATGCACTGAACAAAGAAGCAGTGCACAAGGGAAAGCAGGTTTACTCTGCAATTTTTTTTTAAATTGGTTTGTATTAAAAGCACTAATATAAGACCTAAGTCTGTTTCAACCATGGTGTGTGAAAATACTCATAATAAAGATAGTCAGTCTTTATCATCTAAATAATTTAATCACAGAAAAATGTTTCCTTTTGCAGACAGGCATTTGGGTGTGGTCTTTAGTGTGTTTTTTGGTTTGTTTGTTTTATTAAAAGTAGTACCAACTGTTAAACTTTTGTCGTATTTCAGCCAACACTGTGACCAGGTATAACTTTGTAAGTAGAAACTATTCTGGAAGTCAGGCACTTAGGCCTAAGTATTATCAGGATTGGACACATTCGTTTTGTAGATGTTTGCAAAATAATGGGTTTACCAGACTACCATTTACATTGTAAATATCATCCCTTAAAGATCAATAATTTTTGGAACTGACACCTCCTTATCAGTATCTCTGTTTTTTCCTCTAAGTATGTATCATTTTATATGTGTATGTACACCTAAATATATATATATATATAAATACACAGTCACACAGTTAAAGGCAAAAAGGTATTTAACAGCTAAAAACTGGAACCCTCGTAAAAATAATTAAGGCTCAAATGGTGCACTGGGATTTTTGTTCTACATACTATTTGGATATGACAGGGATGACATTAATAAATCAATCAAAGCCTCTGAGAGGTGTCACACCCTCGTCTAAAAGCCTATTTCTTACATGAATATATTCAGCTTTTCCACTGGCTTCAGTTTTAATGATTTAGGTTTTGTTTTTTCTTCCTAAAATAGACATTCAGGACAGGACAGACAAGATGATGTGTTTTTCCAAGATTTTAAATACGCTGCAATCAGGAACAACTTAGTTCATCGTTGATTTTGTACTACCATGTAAATTGTCATTTGGTTCATGACACTCCTTTTCTTTCCGCAACTACGCAGATGCAGCCACAAATACACCTGAATGGTTTCAAAGTAAGTCACATTTTACCTGGAGTATTGTACTGCTCAGAAAGCATTAATGTACTTCTGCTTCTGGCTAAAGATGACTGTGTGGGAGTCAGCAGTCGAGAAACAATAAAGTTTTCCATTGGACTAAGATGCATGCGGTGAGCTGAAGGATGGGAGCAAATAAAATACAATTTAAAATGCAAATAAATAAAACAATGTTACGTAAAAATAACTGAAACAAAATGATGAAATGATTAAATGAAATGCCAAAAACCCTGGAAGTGTTTGAGATTTAAAATATTTGAAGATAATTTTCATTCCCTCTAAAAAAGGCCTTCTAGTTTCTCCCTCCTTCTAAATTATTTTCCCACCTGTGCAGTAAATATAGTAAGGTTAAGACTGTGTTGCATTTTGTTCTTACTCAGAGGCATGTTCCATTACGTAAAATGGTTGCTTTCATGACTCAGCATGAAAAAGGTTTGTCTTCTTCCCCAGTAGAAGAGGTAAAACATTTGACGTAACAGCACGGCTGTTCCCCAACGTGCCAACCAAACTGGGACTGCATTTAAAATTTGCCATCTCACTGCATTATGTAATTCTTATTTATACAATATGCCTGCATTCCTTCCTACTCCATAAATGTGTCAACTATGTAAGACATATTTATAGATGTTCCTATTACACATATATACAGTCATCCATCATAATAACCTCAAAGGTACTGATGAGTTTTCATTAAGACATTCAGAAGTTAAAATAAATGTACCTTCTCTTTTAATTCTAAAAACAAGCCTTCATAGTCACTTACTTCAAAAAATACATTTTTTATCATTAGACTTTAAAGAGGGAAAAAAAGAAACACAAAACAAACCTAAAAAAGCCAGAGTTCAGAGTGAGTGCTTAGTAACCACTAATCCTACAAGATGATCATCTTTTGCTGAGTCTCTCGTGGATCAGAGTTTTGTAACAAATTAAAGGGCTCTACAACTCTGGTCACCGGATTGAAGTGTCCCAGGTGGCTCATTGGACGTGCTCCTGCCCACAGTACACCCCCTATCTACTGTCAAGCCACATATTTGGTTTGCCTGTTTTTCCTACTGGCCAGAAGGTCACAAGCAGTAGTTATAGGAAATGGCTGCAGTCACAGAATGTACTTACAGCCTTGTTTGTGGGAGTATCAAAACCTGAAAAAGAATCAGTAGAAAACCCACAGCATTTGTTGCTGGACTGCGACCTCCAGCATGGCAGCACAGTCTTGGGACAGGCTACAGAACTACTTTAATGTATTCATTTAAAATGCCTCAAATGTTTGAGCTCTTTTGAATGGCATACATAAGCAAATCACACGACTACATGGACAAGAAGTGCTTTAAGCAGAAGGAGAGTTTAGGCTGGCAGGAGACCAGCAGGTTCACTTGCCTCTGTCGGGGGAATGTGTTATGGCCGCGGTGGAGGAGGAGAGGCGCTTACTGATTGGCGAGTCCATTTGCTTTGGCAGATTCATTGTAGAAGCTGAAAGTTTGTCACATGCTGCAGAGAAACGCATTGAAGATATTTGTATTCATGTCATGGTGTTGATAAACTCCCCAAATTAACCTTGCATTTGTACTCGTGGCCCTTGCCACTCACAGCACTGAATTAGGCAGCAGATAAGCTCTTTCTGAGTGCTGGAGGACCAGCATCCTGTGACACATGCTTTGGGATGCAACTTTTCTGCTTGTGAATTTAATACTCCAGTTTTACAACAGTCTATTTTTTGTACTGCCCCTGGCACATAATTATATATCAGGTCTGAATGAGTGAAGCCGTTCTGATATAAGATATTCAAATATCAGCACAAGCATAAAGTTACCCAAAGAAAACAAACTGCAAACAGGACAACTCTGAACTCATCTTCATTCCCTCTCCCGTCTGCTTTCAGTCTGGAAGACCTGGGATAGACCTCAGGTATCATTCTAATAGGAAAATTAAATAACCAACATTTGTGTGCTTGCATGATGAGACCTCACTGTTTGGTTTTATCTTTTTGTGCTTGAGAAGATTTAAAAAAAAAAAGATGCAGATTCTTGGTACATTTTTCTTGTGAAATACTGTTTGACAAAGTCTTTTTGAGCCAAATATCCATTTCCTACCTTGGCATTTATTTAACTGAATGAAAGAAAAATGTTACTCAAGTATTACTACAATGTACTTGTACATGATGATCACCATATGATACTCAGAAGCTAAAAACACAGGCTCATTGTCCCCTAAATTTGAATTTTATTTCTTTCAAAACAAAAAATATTTTCAGCAAGGGACATGTATGTGTAATTCTGCAGCTCCTAAGTTACTGTATTCCCTATTACATCCATCAAATCATTGCCTCAGTGGGGTTTGCAAGATTTCCTTCCATCTACTACAGTAGACAATACAATTTCCTTTCTTAAAAAAACACGTATGATGCTGGTATGCTGCAAAACATCAGTTGCACAGCCAAGTATCTTTGCACATGAACAACAGTTAGTATAAAAATCTGAATCTGTTTGCACAGAAATAAGAGTCCTGTGAGATCATGGACACAACAACATTTATTGTAAGTTCTGCAGGAGTCATAGCCAAGCCTAGCTCCTCCTTTGGGGGTGAGAGAAGGAACCTACTTCTCAAAAGCACAGGCTGTGTTTTGTTTTCAAAATGCCAAGTACATTTACAATCAAGATTAGAAATCCTATATGCAATACAATCGTAATTTTGGAGGACTCGTGTACTTCACAGTCCTTTTATGGAAATAGTAATTAAAAAACCCAAGCCACAAAAAAAGTGCAAAAAAAGACAATAAAATAAAACATAATTGATTACACAAAGTCAACTTCCTGACTTTGTTACAAATACCAGTTAAGCCAAAATTCATTTCTGGAGGTTGAAAACACAGCATGGCCATGTAAAGGTATTCTACATTTACTTATTCTTAAAATATTGCAGAAAAAGGCCCTTGAGATGGAAAAAGAGGACTGTTTTGATGAAACACGGGCTTCATAACACATTTTATCTTACTGTGCAACTGAAATCTTTGTCAACAGCACCTGTGCCCATCCATTAGAACTGTCAAATATATGCCTAATTATACACACACACACAGAGCACCCACAGAATTAACAAAGATGAGAATCTGAGTGGTAGAAGTCTACAGTTACTGAGAAAACCATGAAATGCCTCTACTGTGCTGGAATGTGAGGCATGCACTGCTCCACCATGGCAAAATTAAAAGGAAATTAAAAAGACATTGGTCTACAACGCTAAGGGTAATGCTGTAGAGTGCCAGACTGAAATTATAAGAAAACACTGGTTAGGAAGGACAAGATCAGTGGATGGATTACAGTGATTAGAACAGTTATAAACAAGACATGATGGTGCTGTGATTCTCTGAAATACCATTGAAGGAATCAGCAGGAGCAGTAGAGGTCACAGGGTCTGGAGGAAGGGTGTTGGCAGCTAAACCTAGAACAGGGGGTGGGGTATTTTCTGATTCACCTACACAGCAGAGAAATCAGAGCAAAAAGAGGTGAAAGAAATTACTGAATAAGTTGGGGGAGCTGGAATTAAGCATAAACTGCATCACAAAGAAAAACTGGTTTCTTTCTCAAAGTATAAAAGACTTCTTTTATTATTACATATATTTAATTTCTGGGTTTTTTAATGGCATACCATTAAAACTATGATATGAAACAGAGTTTGCCTTTTTTAAGTTAAGTATATTTACACACTGTTTTAAAAGAGTACTTGTCATATTTCTTCATCACCCAAACATGGATATTTTCCCCTATAACAGTTTATTCAAACCTGACAAATTTAAATAAGTTGCATGATTTAAAAGAGAAAACATGCATCTTTTTGAAATATAAAAGCAGCACATGACTGATTATGTAATAAAAAGAACTTGCTCTGAAGCCAAAGCAAAAATAGCAGTAACAGAACGTATATGGGGGGAAAAAACAAACTATTTTAAACTGCACATGCTGCATAGTCATCTAGAAATTCCCAGCAGTTTTTAAAAGTACCAAACAAAAACAGATCATCTTTTTGCAAGGCTCAGACAGCAGTCAGTCCTTTGGTGAATACTGAATTTGCTAACTGTGTGCGTGGGAAGACAATGTGGAGTGAGATAATAAGGGAGGCTGTGCATCAATTTTAATTTTAGCATTTAGCATCCTCCAAACAGGTTCTGGTTACTCTATTAAAATGATCTGCATTCCTAAAGTTAGGAGGAACCTTTCTCCTCAGAAGGTATTAAGAGAGAGGAAGCCTGGCAAGCAATTACAAAGTACTTATTCACGCCCCAAGGCAAAAGCCTGTACAGTACCACCCTAACTATAAAACCACCATACTTACTATCTCCACAATCTCATGCATTTTGCACTTCCAGATCTGCAATGCAGGCAGCCTGTTTCACTTACCATCTCTCCCTCCTGAGCCTGCAGCCAGTGCTCCTCCCCACGACCATCGCTTCTGCTTCTGTTCCAGCTGCTGGCTGCGTTCAAGGGACCGACGCATCATGGCTTCTAAACGTTCCTGGTTGAATTGGTACAAAACCAGAAACCAAATCTCCATCAGTTCTTTGGGGGCTTTTTTCCCCACCCCGCCTCCTGAAACCATGCTAAAAATACCCAGTCCCCCTGTTGCTCCACGAAAGATGATAACAGGAGCTTGTTCCCAATAAAAGAAAAAGAAGTGAATAAAGAAGGTATCAGCATTCTACCTACCTCCAGATATGTGTGTCCTTTGTCTGCAAGCCACTGAGGTCACTACAGAGGCCTAAGTAAATAACACAGGTTGCATCACTGCCTAGCATCTGCTCCTGCTGGTGAGGCTGCTGCTGTGCTCTGGACTTAATTTGTATAAGAATAATGCTCGACAAGCATTAACTCCTTCTTGTCTATGCAGACATCAGGATTTTTTCCCATCCCTTTCTGAGCACAGTTAAATTGCTGCAATGCCAGTGGCTCCACCTAGTCACTCAGATAAATGATCACTTCAAACCCAAAGTAGGTTACTTTGCAGGAGCTCTATTTATATATTTATTTTAATGAAAACTCCCTCCTTTCTTCCGCTATGTTCCTTACAGTCTATGCAGTTAAGAGCTTCTGATTTTTTTTTCCCCTCTGTGTTTTTTTTTTAATGCATGCCTAGATCATGCTGTTCCAAGATTTACTTGTTTCCCCCTCTCTATCCCCATGTTGTTCTCCATGGCTTGCTGAGGTAGGATTTTTAGCTGTGAGAGAATAAATATATTTCTTTCCCTCCCCAAATCCTGTTCTACCTTTAACTTACAGCTAAGTATGGTCACCTTATTCCCTCTCCACCACCTCCTGACTCACTGAAAGACCTCCACTGAGTTTCATTCCCACCTCCTCCCTCTGCTAGTTTCTCAGTGATTTATTGTTGTGGCAATGATCTCTGCACCTTTTCTTTTCCTCCTTTCAAGCAGATATAATGTGGTTCTTCCCCACCCACCATTCCATCATCTAACAGCCTCTTTTCTTCCTCCTCCCAGTACCTCATTCCCATCTGGCAACCTCCTCACCCTCACAGCCCAACCCCTACCATGAAAGATAAGTCTACTCTTGCTGCCTCCAACTTTTGCCTCAATGGATTTTAGACCTTTGATCCTATTACTATTTTTGGTGCTATTACTTATTACCTTTGCTATGTCCTTCTGATCTAGTGTAAAACTCCTACTCTCATCCACTTCAAACTGGATCCTGCAGGCTTCTGTGATTACATCATAACTCTTCCAATTTTTACCAACCCCCTGCTCTGTCTCCAGTATCTTTTGGCAGCTCAGATCATCTGCATGGAAAACCTCTCATACATCTCTTGGACAGAATACTTTCTCTAACTGATTCATGCCTTTGGACTGGCTTTCCTATTGCCTTTTTCTGCGAGATTTTACCACAAAATTTCAGTCTTTGTTCAAGCATGTCTCCTTCAGCCTCTGCACTGATGTTGAGCCTGTAGTCTCTGACTGTAGCACCTTCGGCACATCAGACTCTAACATCAGGCACCTCCAGAAACTTCCATGACAGAACTTTTATACACGTGCCTGTAACCTTTGTGTTACTTTCCTGGGGTTCTTGGCCTTCTACAATGCCAGATGTCCTCTCATCATCTTCTGGTTATCTGCGATATACTTTTGTCTCTTCCACATCTTTGAAGAATCTCTTCTACTACAACTTACAGTAATTTATTTCTGACCTCATTTTTTCCACCTCATCCACCCCTACTACCAGTTATCCATCAATATCAACAGCAAGCCACTACCTTTAATCTTTAAGCTTTCTTCCCTTAACCTCATTACAAATCACTTGTGCTATAAAGAATGCCAATATATTACCCTCCATACAAAGAGTGAGAAAAGAAAATTCTTGCATGCTCTGTCCATCATTCTCATCTCTCTCGTCCCTGTTACCTTTTGGCCAGGTGCCCCACCCTGCTGTTACAATTTCTGCTGCTGTCTCCAGGAAGATGATTTTTCAGTCATGTGTTTTGAGCTCATGGTCTATCAGGTAACATCATTCAAAGACCACTGAAAGCAGGCAGCTGCTTCCCCGCCCTCCCTTCCCCCTTTCCTCCCCCCTTCCGTCTTGTCAGTGCCATCAGTGTCCAGGCAGGCATGAAAATGCGAGCTCTGCCTCCTTCCTTCCCCTTCTTCTCCCTACGGAGCAATTGCACGAATCATCAGGAGGCAGCACAAAGCCCAAATGCAGCCTCTTCTGCTACAGCACAGAAAACCCCATAGTTCTGAGTACCTCGTGAGTACCAAGTACTCACTTCTTGTCCCTACTTGGGGTGTGAAAAGGAAACAATCTTCCAGTCTCTGGAATTCGAAGTCACTCGCTTCTGATTTAATTCGCTACAATCTTTCTTTCTTCTCTTACTGCTTGATGATGCCATTTTCACACTTAAAACTTGTGTGTGCTGCCTTTGCATTTCAAGTTCACGCTTTTTACTTATAACTTCTCACCTCTCTAATTTAATTCTGTTTGAGTCCCTTTTCTGCCCTTACTCTTTGCAAAACTCACCTATTTCATCACCAGTTCTTCTCTGCAGTCTGCTTCTTTTCACTACTTTCTTCTACTATGCATCTTGCCCCAACCTACCCTTCTACCACACTCTTTACACCAAGGAAAATCTCACCCTCCCATTTATTTCTCATTAAAGCATCCTCTTATAAAGAACCTTTCTTTCTTCCCATTTCTAATTAATATTGTTCGACATTAATCAAAAAAGATAAGATGAAAGCAGTCAAGTTTCAATTATCTGATTTATGTTTGTTTGTTGTTTTGTTTAGGGTTTTTTAATGATGTTTGCAGCAAGAACCAGCAATATTCTTTAGTTTGCAAACCACAGAATACACTTATACCACCTACTAAGAAAGTGTTTTAAGAATAAAATGCACAGTGAAATAGATTAAAGAAATTAAATGATTCTTCATACATATTTGACAGTCCATGCTACCTACAATCTGAGGTTGAAATCTTCAGCTACACGATGTGGAAAGGATCACTGAATTTCATTTGCAAGGAGCCTTTCATTAAAGCACTATAGAACATAATTATTAAACCTCATGCAGATATAGCTTAGATAAAGAACAATATGAGGGCCATTCTTCACAAAGAAAGAGTAGTTATTAAAAAATTACTTTAAGATGGCACAAAACTAAAAAGCCAAAGAAAACAATAAGACACAAGGAAGCACAGCATAAACACCTCATACATTAATAATTTGTTCTGTGACGAAAATTAAACCACAAGACATTCCTTCACCAGCAAACAATGTGGAAAACCCTTCCAGTCTATGTTATAGATGAAGTACCTTCTTAAAAAGATATTAAACTGCCAGTGTGATCCTCATTTGGGAACTCTAACAGCTACAGATAGAGGAAACAATGTCTGCACTCAAGATACAGTGAGTTCCCACAAAAAAACTGTAATGCACAAGAATTGTATGTAGGTTAAATTAAGAATTAATAAAACCATAAAAGAGAGCCATCTACTGCTAGTATCTAAAAATTACATGTTACTTTCAAAATTCAGTTATTCATCCAGGTTTTCCTCAGCTTGAGCAACAGAATAAACATTTGTACTGTCCGAAGTAAAAACAAACAAATAAAAATCCCACAAACAAAACCCAATTGTGAGAAAGCAAGTAATTTGACTAAGTACTTTCCTTTTCTCTGTGCAAAATATAACAGATGTGACAAGCAAAAAATTCATTTTGAAAGTATTATGACTTAAAATAATTTGTGCAAACAATTCTAAACCCATCTCCTTATACCTACAATATAAATATCTAAAAGAGCCCAAAACCACCTCTTCCTCTTCTCTTTACACACAGCACTGTATGCAAGTAGATCACTGTTTCCTGATATTATCAGTCAGCTCCATTTTTTGAGTGGCTCTTCCCTATAGCAACGAAAGAGCTCTGTTTTTTTCTATTTAAATAATGCATTAAAAAGCAATATAGTATTCTTAAATTTAACTACCATTCTGAATAAAATTAATTCCCACTCTCAACCAATTGCAGTTATGGGTGTGTGTCAGGGTGTGGGCATCAAACAACAGCACAGGACAGAGGAAGGCTCTGCATTAAGATACAAAGGGAGCTGCCACAGCAGGGAACAGCAGGGGAAGGGCAAAGGATGGTCAGTAATGAGGACTAAATATTTCTCCTCATGTCCACTACAGAGCAGAGTGAGAGACTGCTTGCAATGCAATCTCAAACAGTTTGCAGTAGAATTTTTATATTTCTCATGCAACTGAATCCCACTTAGGATATGAATTGCTAAAATCTGTTTGGAAAGCAATTATTATTTCATCTATTATAATTTTAAAAGTAATTAAATTTGAATTGCATATAATACAGTAAGTAATTAAAGCTATAATATCTTGAGAGTTGTCACTCTTGTGTCTAAGTGCATGATTTTTACAAATGTAAGAAATAGTGCATGTAAACAATCTCTCCAATGATGCAGGATATTCTTTTCCATTTAACAGTTGTTATATCAATCTTTCAAGTCAAGTGCTGGCTTAGATTTGATGCTCTTTACAGGTTCATCTAAACATTAGTATACTGGTAGGCTCAGTACTACTTTTATCAGTTTCCTTTTTAACAAAATCTGATGGTTTTATTAAAAACAAATCTTTGACTAGATGGATGTTCTTGCTCTTATTCGCACGAGCATCCTTGACATGGCCTGTAAAAGTGATGTTCATATTGTCTTATGGAATCCAAGATCAGCAGAACACGGCTCCTGTGGAGACTTCCCAATAACCCATGTACAGCTAGACACCTATTTGCAAGGTATTTTCCAAGTCACATGGAATTTCAAGGCAGGGAACTGAAAAACTTTTATCCAGTCCAGTTAAAAATAACTCTTCAATCACTTCTGTTGAACAGCACGTTTCTTCCTTCAAGGCTCAGGGACTGCTTTTACTAAAGGAAGTGGGCAATTTTAAAAAGAAATACGCAGGGAAAGACAGTGGTACTGAAGACCTCTACAGATAAGAAAGGTGCAGTCACTGTCAATGGGGCAAACACATATTTTCATATATATTTATTCAGGTCCTGTCTGAAGAATCGGACACGCTTTCACTGTGCTCTGCAACAAGCTCCAGCTGCCCCAGAGGGGAACTCTGAGAGAACACCTCCATTCCTACCAAACTAGACATTAAAACCACCATATCTTATCTGGTCATTGTAGAGTGGAAAAAGCAAGCAAAATAAATCAAATTTTAGCCACCTCCTCTTTAAGAAGTCCTTTGCAAGCAAAACAGCCAAGCAGAGGATGCTCTGACATAGGAGTCAACAACTCCCCACCAGTTCCTCTCAAAGTCTTCCAGAAGCAACAATAATATTTTGTAGAGAGAGATTTATACAATCTGTTCCTATCAAAATATGCACTACCTTCTGCTGCGTTAAAAAGCAAGGAAAAATAACTTCAGGAAAATATAAAGGACAACCAATAAGGCAAAGAGCAAGGAAGAAAATCTCTCTACTTGTCATTTCAGACACCTGATGAGCAGGTAAGATGGGTACTCAGTCCCCAGCCAGTGTAAACCAGAGTTAAAATGAGAAACACTGAGGACATGCTGCATTACACTGGCTCACTGGCCAGGGCACACACACACCCCACCTTAGGTGTGGGAAATACAGCTTCAAAGCTCTTCCAGTAAAGAAGATCTTTAAATGGCCGAATGACTCACAGGCACTGAGCAACTTGCAATGCCCAGGGAGCTGCAAGTTCATCATCATCCTTACTCAGACCCTCACTGTTACAATGCACGTGGGGTTTGAGGGATTCATCAGAAGCAGAGGGGGAATTTGGCAGATCCTTTAGTAGAATTCAAGTGGAATTTGAGAAATGAGGGACAAAAAACCGCAAAGGGAAGTCAGAAGGTGATATCTCATATTCCCAGTTTCCTTCTCTCACTCTTCCCTGTTCTACCGATTATTCCCCTGTGTACCCTCTCCTCCTTCAGAGGCTCCTGGATTTTTCCTCCCCCCAGGTTCAATCCATCCCCAAACAAGCAACCATCCTCTCCAGTCCTCCTGCCCCTCTCACCTCCCTCAGTCTGGGGGAAGAGGGAGGGAGGAAAGAAAAGGTAAAGAAGCCAGAGCTGGGTCTGTCTTAACTCCCAAAGAAAGGCTTTGGACAGTTTAAGCACAAAGGACCAGCCCAGTGAGAGAAGTGGTAGTTGTATTATGACCAAACTCTTGGAAGCAGCCTTTCTCTCGCCATTAGAGAAGGCTCCTATCGCACGTACAGTGTCCTGGGGAGCTGAAACAGGCGTGCTGATGGTTGGGAGAAACATCACTCTCTGCTCAGCCTCATATCCATCTCTGGGAAAGTGCAGGAGGCCACTGCAGGAGATGGAGTCCCCACTGAACAGCCCCCTTGGCTCTGACCTGCCACAGCCTCTCTTGTGCCCAACAACCCTGCTCTCGTTTCTCCAGCAAAGGCAAACCGTGCAGGCAGGGAAAGCAGGCAGTTGCTCACTCTTCCTCCACCTCCCTCTGCTGCAAATTTTGAGGACAGGGGTTTGAAAGTTACTGCACTTGCCCCTTTCCCTCACAACCCTCAGAGGGAATGGATTTTGCTTAGCTGCAAAAGGTTACCGCAGCAGGAAACACTGGGGAAGGAGCACATCAGGTCAGTGATGTTACCACAGGAGAGAGACCTCCCATCCCCCTTTGTTTCTGGTTTTTTGTCATTTTTCTTAAAAGAATTTGAAACAAACCACATGACAAAATATTTTAAAATTAATTTTCAGCCATTACACAGAAGCCACAATCAGTGTGTTTAAGCTGAAAGAGGAATGACAGGATATAATCTTCTCTTCAAGTTAATGTGAAAAATCTAACCAAAAAATTCAATGAACAGCAGTATGTTATTCTGATTCCATGCAGCAGTGTTTTAACTGTTTCGCAAAGTTATTGTGATCAAAAGATGGTGGGGGCAGAAAAAAGGAGGAACTGCAGATTTCTAGAGCTTTTTTTAATCTAGAAACTAGAGAAATGTCTTCTCTTGGTTTTTTTTTTTAAACCACTGCCCCCTTTCCCAAAAATCATTAATTCTTTATCAGTTGCAGTAGCTGTGTTAGTGTTTTCTATATAATGTCATGCAGAAATATACACACACACTGCATTCAGAGATTTGTATCAGAAATTGGACTCACTAGAGCAAAAAAAGAACCTTAAACAATCTCAGTAGGGAGTGTAGAAGAGAGGAAGGGTAGGAAGATGCTCAAAATATATGTGATTAATTCTGTTCTGTGAGAGAATTTTAAACCAGCCTAGATTCTTTACTGCTTTACGTAAGAATTTCTGAGTTTCTGTCACCAAGGAAAAACGAAACAACACATTTTCATAAACATGATTTCTGTTTCATGACAATAAACAGAACAGTAAGAAAAATCTTTCCCTTTTTGGAAACACTCATCTTTAAAAAATACTTTCTGAAAAGCTGGTGCTTTATCATTTGACAATCAGAGTCCCAGATATGTTAGCAATAGTAGATAACTACTCTGTGAGATCAGACAGAAATCAAGTAAAAAAAAATGCTTTGGAAAATGTTTCTAATGTACAAGCAGTAGCCGACTCCTAATAGCTGTGGTGATGTGGTTTGCAATTCTCGAAGTAATACCCACATGTCTGCAGTCCTGCCCCCAAAATCGTTCAGTGCATGTCAATATTCAGCTACGGTTAATGCTACCACGCGGAACTGCCCTGCTGCACATCTCCCAGTGGGCCTCACCTCCTCCTCTTTAAGCTTTTGTCTCCGTTTTTCTTCAACAGCTGCCCTCTTCTGCTCCTCCCTCTGCCTCTGCTCCTCCAGTCTTCTCCACCGCTCCTCCATTTGCTTCTCATACTGAAGTTTTGCTCTTCTCTCCTTCTCCAGTATCTGCTGTTCCCTGGCGGCTTATGCAGAGAAAAAGGTGCGTTTCACTTCCCACAAATGTTCTTCTGCTTTAAAATTATTTGATAACACGGCACAACAGTGTAAAAGAACGAATACAAGTACACAGGGTCTTAGTACACTAAGATTAAAAACATAGTGCACAGAAGTGCTGAAACGACTAGTAAATCTAAGTGATTTGCTCAATAAACAAATAAGGAAGCCCTTGTACACAAGGTGACAGTTTGTGCCCCTTACCTATGTAAAAACAGTGTACAGAACATTTTAAAAACACTTTTTTGTTTACGCTTCAAATCTCTCTGTGGCTTAAAGCCAAACTATTTTTTCAGACATAACAAATGTTCCCAGTAAGCTTTGAAGTGAATCAGTTACGTAGGTTGAAGCAAAAGCCCTTGGAATTTCTTTAAAACTGCTTCTTGTTATGGAGCTGCCTTCAAAACGAATACATGAAAACAACATATGCTAAGTTTTCTATGAAGTTTTGGAAATACACCATTCAGCTCATAATTTGGTACTGCATCTTTACCCACTTCTGCCTCTTCGCACGAAAAAAAATTACTTGTGTTATGGAGGGTTTGCCCAGTTGTTTATTCTAACTGGAGCAATAACCTTCTTGAGACATCACCTTGATAAAGAAATTCAGACTGCAACATTACATACAGGACTGTTGCTTCAGGTTTATGTAGGAGAACAAGTAGCAGAAGTTGATGTGGCAAATCACGAGGAAAAATTCACTTTTCTCATGCAAGTGTATTCCATAAGAAGGCAGGAAAGAGGAGTTCAGTAAGCATGCCTACAAACACACAAGCCTGTAATGTCACATACCAACACACATATAGCCCATACCAAAGAAGGAATATTCTCACAGTTGCCAGGCTAAGAACTTGAAAGTTAGGGAAAGTCAGAATTAATGCTGTTTATGTAAGAGCTAGTCTTTCATCACGCTCACCTATTCAGCCTCACACTGCTCCTTCAGTTCCTGTTTCCTTGTACAGCACATTTTCACCCTTCTAACTCTTTCTCAGTATCTCCCCATCAATCCTAGGCTCTTGCCCAGCCATCTCAACTCCCTCTTCTAAGATCAGCCTTCTTCCGTCAGCTATTGCCCTCAGATTCTTTAACTACAACTGTGACCTTCAGTCCCTTTTGGCCCCACTACATCTTCAAGCCCTTGGGTGAGAGCCAGAGTCTTTCCAACACCCAAATCCTTTTCCAACAGTTGTATTTCTTCCCCTTGAACACAGACTCCTCCTAGAATACTTGTTCAAACTCAGCCTGATTTGCAGAACACCTTCCAGCTTATTCTTGCTAGAAATATAGTTGATGTTGTCTTCTTTTTTGCCGTATGAAAATCCACTCTTCCTCCCCACCCAGGACAGGGCAGTACAGGGTGGGGAGGGTGGTCAGGGCTGCAGGTGAGCCTGCATTGAATGTGTGAAGAGTCAGACTTGCCAACAGAAAAAGAGTTACCTCAGAGACAGTGGAAGACAAGTGACCACTCATTAATTATTCACAACTGCTAGCCAAGTCAGGTAGAGCAGGTGAAAAAAAGCATGCTGGAGTTCATAAAAACCAAAAATAAAGTGCCCAGAGACTGTGCTACGATTACCTTCTGAGTCAGTAGGTGAAATCGGGGACTGATTCTGAACAGAGAAGCAAACCATTCTGTCATCATGAACATATATACAATTCGTGTTCCTTAATTTAGGGATACTAAACCACTGATTAACAAGTTTTGGCTTTGTTGAAAAGGTTATTCTATATTGTTGTGAAGTACCTACTGACTGCTTAAAGTTCTGACCTCCTAGGGAACACACTGCTTTTTTCTGAACTTCTAAAAGAAATTTGCCACAAACAATGACCAAAATCCAGAGCTCCCCATTACAGAAATGGTCTTAACCCTAAAGAACTGTATTTCCAGAAGGTGCATATGATGTCTGGGAAAAAACTGCAGTCAACACCTTCCAAATTTCCTGGGCCAACCACTCCCAAATTCTCCAGGTTTCAGTTTCCCTCTCATCTCTTCTGCTTTTTAATCCAAGTCCCTTACAATCTACTCATAGTGTCACTTTCTCAGGAACCAGCAAGAAAGGGATAATCAAGAGGACAGAAGAGAAAGCCTAGACTGGGCATACCTGGAAGAGAAGTAAGCTACAGCTCAGGCTGGTTCATGCCCCAGATAGACAGAACCTCAGGGGACATTAAGTACTAAACAGCAGCAGATTTTCACTGAACTACCAAAAAGAATCTTGCTGACCAAGCCCATGGTACTAAAAAACATCAAGTCATGGTCTCAAGCCTCAGGTTTTGTCAAGAAATGGTAAGCAATTTGTTTATTTAATGCAAGAAAAACAGTATTTTCCTACGATTCTTCTCACAGGTGTCCATATTGTTTTAGTTGACGTTTCCTCAAAATATCTGCCTAGCTTAAATTTTACAAAAATCATAAAACACTGACAATTCCTTCTGATAGGTATTGTCAGGTAACCTCTAGGAACAGTGCTCCTAGCCTTTCTTGTCATTACAATAAGGAAAAGTGAAGTTCATAGTTCAACTTTTTTTTTATTTATAAATATATATATACACACAAATAGACCATAGAAAGTCCAAATCAATGTCTCAGAGTTGATTTTATTCATGCATATATATATATATTAACTGTGTATGAACACCCCCCTTATATATATTTTTGTTTTACACACGCACATATATATATATATATTTTACAATTCCCTCAACATTTCTCTAGTTCTATTAATAGATTAAAAATACCCTATTATTTAAAAAAAATTTCTGAAACCAATGCTTATGCTGTTCAGGAACTGAATAATATTTCTTCTCATCCTCTTGAAATATTAACCATTTAAAAACTTATGGAAAAGTATCTGCTTTAACAACTCTGTGGTATCTTTCAGTATGACTAAAACTGAACAGGCTAAATTTGAGGCTGCTTTGCCAAATCATCCTACATATTATCCTGAGTATTATCCAAAGCTTATTTGGTATTTTTACAAATCAGAATCTTAATAGTATCTTGAACATAAACCTATATTCAAAAGCACATAAATCAAAGAAGAATATCAACTTGTAACTATAGAACATTAATAGCTGAATGGAAAATCCAGAACGACAGATTATTTTTTTTAATTTGATTCAAAAAAAGTGATAAAGACTAGGAACAGATTGAACCACAATGTTTAAAATTCACAGCAGGAAAAATGTTCTAAGTTACTTAACCCTATTAACACATATACATAAATAATACATACACCTCCTGCCAACTTACCAAGGTATTTCTCCCTTTCTTCTCTTCTTTCCTTTGCCAGTCTTTGTCTTTCATCAGTTTTTAAAAATCCATCAATGGCTAAAGACAGAGAGAAGGAAAAAAAAAGTTGGTTAAACTAAAGAAGCATGCAAAAGAAATATAAAACATCCACCAAAAATAATTACTACTGCATTTAATAACTCCAATAACAAAACCAATTTGGCACTTGTATGCATGCAGGTTAACAAGCTGGGATTTGGATACATCCTGAGCACAGTCTCCTACCTACTGCTGAACTCCAAGCACAGTTCCTCAGTGTAAATGCCTGACTCCTCAGAGCAAACAAGCATGCTGTTAGTGCTTGTTTCAAAATGTAAAACTTTCTTGGGAAAAACCATAAGGATGCAATTAACATTTATTTATCTTTGTTAATGAGCTCATTTTAATTTTTTTTTTGGCTAAAAAGAAAAACAGTAGCTCTGAAAAGCAGTAAGCAGCCATGGGGAGTCCCAGCCTTCACCTTTATGGCTCACCAGAGCCCCACAGTCTCCTTGCTCAGTAGCACCAGCTCATTTCAACAACCACCAATTATCCCTGGATGAGGCTATGCAGGACGAAGCCCTCCTGCCCTCTTTTCCAGGCAGGAGGCACTTTGTTTCCTTCTCAAGTTGGTGTCTAAAAGTAGGTTACTTTGTGAGGAGGTTGCCTAAGGATGTTTTGTACCTGGATCCAGACACCCCAGTTCCTTACACAGCATGAGCAACTGAAAAGCCCCGTTTAAGGAGGCAGGAAGGCAGAGTTTGACACACAAGGTGCCTCAGAGTCACCTGCCTGCGTGCCCTGGAACAAGCAGCCAGACAGACCTTAGATGGACCTTCTGCAATACTATGGGTAAGGCCACCAACTAGTGCCTTGACAGACCATCTAAAGGATGGTATCCTTTTAAAACAGCTGATGGGGCCTCCAGTGCTCTCTTTTCTCTCTTTGTTTTCAGGATCTCCTGGGGTCCAGGCAGTGCAAACAGGCATGGTGTCCCACAGCACGTTTACATCCTTTGCAATCATTATCTGGGCTCCCTGATGAGTTACTGAATTATAATTAAAACCCCTTCCCTTTTGCTCTGAGAACTGCAGTTACTAATTTTATCCTATAAATATGAGTGGAAAAGTTACACAGACTGTAACCCCAAGTCGCTTCCTGAAAAGTTACACTTGCAGGCTCCTTTCCAAAGGCAGCTTGTCTGTGGGAGCAAGGATTTTGCATAGGAAGTACCTTTCCATAAAATGCACTGTTCTGCAGGAAGGCTGAAAGCCAGCCTTGGTGGTCCCTGGTGACTGGCTAGACACACAGGTCTCAGGTGTCCCCCATTACAGTAACAGCTTGCTTTTTCCCCACGCAGCATCTCTGACCCTCCCAGCACACACACAGAGCGACTACCTGACGGCAGCCAGCCCCCTAGAAAATTGTGATTACAGCTCCCAGCTGGTTAATTACAACTAAATTTGTGGGTCAAATACATATTTATTTATTACCAAATACTCATCCTACTTCCATACTTGTCCGCTTGTTTATTCCCTTGGCTGCCATTATTGGCACATTTGACAAGGAAGGAGAGAAGAGGTGGCGGCTCAGGAAAACAACCACGGCCAAGGTTTGTAACTACTTTGAAGGGGCCTGGCAAAAAGTAGCTAAGAAGGTGAATCCTGTTGTCAGCCTAGTTACATTACAACTCCAATAGAAAGGTTTTCAGAGATCTGAAAGTCAAACCATCATGAAACCTACAACTCGGGCTAGAAGCAGCAGAGGGAAGTGAAATCAAGACTGGACTAAGAGTCCAACGACAGAAGACTGAGCTTGGGAACCAGCACAGGATGGAGAAAGGGAAAGAGACAAGCAGAGGCACAAGTTAAGGTCTTCTGTGGCAAAGGATGTAAGTCAGATGGAAAGTATGGAATCCAGGACGGGGAGAAGCTGGAGGGATAGGAGAGGAACAGCAGGACAGTTCCTGTTCATGGACTATGTTCATAAAATCCTGCACTGATTCCCATCACTCTCCTGCTTACAGCAACTATCTCTGAAATCCAACAGCACAAATACATCCCATTATGTCTGTCAATAAATTTACAGGTAACTCATCTCTACTTTGACTGCTTCATGAACACATCTAGCAGAAGTGGATCTAAAAATCTTGCTCACAACTGCCACAGCTATCCCAAAGTAGAGGCAAAATTTTTCAGGTTGTCTTTCTCAAGCATTTGGACATCTCCACCCTGCTCGGACAATATTAAAAGATGATCAAGGCTGTAAAGTCAGATACTCAAGAAATGAGGATGCATCCGAGCTGAAACAGTCTGTACAATCCTTATTTTGCCTAGTCTTACACATATATTATACATTTTTCCTTGTCAGGTCCATTTGCTTATTTATGTCAGTGCTTAAAAGGTGAGCCAAGTTCGAAGTTATTAGTGTTTCTTGCTTCATTTCCTTCTGAAACTGAAAAGTACACAGAACTATATCTGAAGTCTGTCTTGGAGAACAGCACTCCAGACTTGGCTATGTCACAGGTGAAACTACAAATATATGGAATTACTGCTCATTATATATGCAATACACCAACATGCAAAAAAACGGAGGAAAACAGTAGGCAATCTGTAAGATGCCTGTAAGTACAGGCATATGCATGTGGCAAGAATAGCATTAAAATAGCACAGGCATCCTCAGTACTGGCATTTCTTAACTCAAGTACTTGACTTTGTGAATTAGCATGCCTGCCAAAAATCAGAAATTTGCTTGCCTTCAGAAAGTAAATATAGCTTTGAAGGACAGAAAACTATTCCCCGGGTAATAGCTTGTACCTTGGGATGACTTTCGAAGGCCAAAATTAGCGTATTTACTACACATCTTCACATAATATACATTATGAACGCAATGGGCACAGCAGTTGCCTGTGGCGAGAAGTTTCATTAATGACAGGAACTCAAATTCTGTTTGACAAAACAGACTGCAGGCAGCAAGCTGGCACAGGTAGCTCTACCCTGGGAATCCCTGTCCCTAACAGGGAACTGCCAGCAGAGGGCAGGACAAGGTCTGAATGAACAAAGCCCCACAGCAAAAAACCTCTCCCTGTGCCAGGTGACCTCAGGGTAATGGTCTGTACACGCAGCTTTATCCTGAGCCATCCTCATGTTTACAGCTAAGCCCCTGATCCCTCAGTTAGACGGGCATGTAACAGCTAACAACATGCTTAAGAGTCAGGAAATAAATGCAGACTGGTTATGCCTTCTGCCAAACAGAGTAATGAATACAAGGAGACACTGGCAGAAAATTCTGTTATAAACCTTTATTCCCAGACTTGCAGAAGAATAAGGAAACTGCTCAAATAATAACATCAAAGATTTTACTCTAAGGAAGCACGCAAACAAATTGTTGGTCCTTGTTAATAAATCTCCCAGTCCTCCCCAAAAGCCCCCTTTCCAAAAAGTCACTCTCAACTGAGGGCATGCTTCTAATCACAGGGCTAATTGCTTGAGACTGGGCCTCATTTTTTGATTGAGGGGGGCCAGCTGTTCCTCTGGGACTTTGACACAATGAGCATTTCCAAAGGAAAAGACCATAACTTAAACCCAGGTAAAATGTCAGCAGCAATCCTGCAGCAGTAATATCCCAGCTAATGCTAGAGGATTCCTTCAATACTTTAATATTACTTTGAAATAAATATTCACAGAAGTAAAAAACAACATGTTAATCACTGATTCAACCCTTTTTCATGGGCAAGATAAACCTATTCAGACTGATGAAATAGTGCCAGAACAGGTCCACACACACTCTGCTCTGCTCCACATACCGCTTGTGTAAACCTCTTGGTGGTTGCTCAAGACAAAGGAAGGTTGTCCTGCCCTGATGAGACACAAGGCAATGTGTCTTTTGAAATCCATATCCTGTTTCTGGTGAGAAAACAAGTTCTCAAGCAGGACAATCAAGCTACTGGGAGCTGAGACTGCATTTCAGAAGGACCAACCGGTTGCTGGCACACCTCGTGTCCTGAAATTCGCACCTGAGTAATTGTCAGCAGGTAAGTTCTCTGTTCTTTTTTTTTTCTTTTTCCTACTTTGTTGTTAAACCCACACACCTTACTGTCCTCTGTAATATTGGTTTCACAATGTCTACACAGCAGATACAGAAGCCCTTGATTGCCGGCATCCCAAAACAGGAGGGAAGTCAACTGGGGATCCGAGGCCAGCTCTGCCTAAGTGTTCAACACACCGAGACCTTTGTCCATTCTACATGATCATGTTCAACACATTTAGACCTTTGTCCCTTCCACATGACATTGTCCAACATTTCTATACCTTTGCCACAGTATGTATCATCTACACTGATGTTGCTGTATTGGTGAAATTCCCAGTTTGGATACAGTCCTGCCTTGCCTGAGACACCACTGCACTTACACCCACCATTCTGCTGGCAAACTCTGTTGCTTCAAATAATATAAACTTAATGTATAAAATCAAGGTTTTGCTCCCTAAAAACTTAATTTCTCTCCCTTGGGACTGTTCTTTGAGAAAATAATGAACAGCCTTTTCCACGTGCCACTGCTTCCCTCTGGGTACTACTGAATAAAGAATAGTCAAGTTTTCAGTTACTGACTATACTTTGAGGGGAAAAGAATTTGTAGAACTGCATGTGACTGTATCTGGATGACACTTTCTGCTGGCAAAAGACTCTTTTGCTGAATTTTAATTATGGTATCTAGCTGAAAGGCTTTCAGGTAGAGGCAACACACAAACAACACAAGGGCTTTGCAGGTATGTTCAGTAAGATTAAGTGGATTGTTGTCTTTTTTGGTAATTTGTTGTCTTCCTTACAGTTTCTTTAATTAAAAATCTTAATACAAAGAATCAGAATTTTTCCAGGTTCCGCTGCTTAATTTTATTTTTATGTTTGCCAGGCTGGATTTCAAATACAACCAGAAAAGAAGAAGGGACATTTTCCATTACGTCTAATGAAAACACCAGGAGGGCTATCTGTTGTTATAAAGATGTTAAGTAGATGAAGTCATTAAAGGCGAACAGTTGCCAAACACAGTGACATTTCAGACA